TGGAGGCACTTTGGGTGTCCCCTTTCTTTTTACCTCAATCTTTGATGCTGAGCCTTTAAGAGGGTTCGGAATTAATGTCTTTACCTCTTTTTGTAGGTTAATATTTTGTTTATCATTCCACACACTCATCATCTTCATCCAGATTTCATAACCCTTTTTCATATAATCATGGTCCCATTCGGGATCTCCTTCACTTTCATAAATTAATTTGTAAGCCCGTTTTAGCACATGGGGGTCAAATGACCCATCTCTAGGGTAGGGACGCATCGCTTGTGCCTCAGTCCACCCTGCTAGATTATCTAACCATGGATTAGTGTAATATCCCCACCCACATCGATACATCCAATCTTTAGGGCCTTCCCCTATCTCAGGCTTGGGGTATGAACCACCCATGTTAGTAAATACTTACTAGAAAACACACAGAATGATCGTTTCACTTTTGTATAGCGCGCTCTTCTTGGCTTTTCAGGGAAAATCCCAGCCAAGGATTACTCAGTTCAGTAATGAAGCTTATCAGGCAGTCAAACCAAATTCATGTCTTGCCAGCTTCCTGAACACTCAGTTCAGTGATGAAACTAATCAGGTAGTCAAAACCAAATTCATGTCTTACCTGATCAGCTTCATCACGTCGGGGGTCACCAAGTTGTTGGGATAAATTGCAGACCGTCTGTGTGTTTCCTCAGTAAGCTGGAGCTCCAGGAAGGCAACAACAACTGAGAGATGTGAATCCAACAGTTTATTGCTCTCTTCTAAAGAAGTCTGGGGTATTCCCAGCTTTTATACATCATACTCAGGGTTATATGGGTTATGAATATGTGCAAATATTCAGCTCAGTTAGGCAGAACAATTTTATCCAGTGCTCAAGAATGTCAAGGCGCAACGTCAAGGCGCCTAGTACAGGGACAACTTACAATAAGATAAAACACAGTTACAAAACAGAATATTTGGAGAGTGACTACATGGATATTTCTTTCATATTATAAGGAAAATATTTTACAATGCTTGCAATTTTGCAAAAAGTTCTTGTACTATGATACTTAACAACTCCATGACATTATTTACAGTTAAAACCAGAAGTTTACATACACTCTAAAACAAAAAAAAAAAAAAGAACATAGCCATTTTCTAAAAAATGTCTGATGGCAAATCATACTAAACATTTACTATTTTAGGTCCGTTAGGATTACCTAAATGATTTACATTTGCTAAATGCCAGAATAATGAGAGACTTTTTGGGGGGAGAATTTTTTATAAATTTCTAGACAGTCAAAAGTTGACATACATTTCCTTGGTATTTTTTAGCTTTGCTTCTAAACTGTTTAACTTTGGTTAAGTTTGAATGAATTTTGGCCCATTCCTCCTGACAGAATTGGTGTAACTGAGTCAGATTCGTAGGCTGTCTTACTCGCTCAAACTTTTTCAACTCCACCCACAAATTTTCTATAGGATTGAGATCAGGGCTTTGTGATGGCCACTCCAAAACATTCACTTAGTTGTTCTTAAAGCACATTTTAACTAATTTGACAGTATGCTTAGGGTCATGGTCTGTTTGGAAGACCCATTTGTGGCCAAGTTTTAATTTTCTATCTGATGTCTTGAGATGTTGCTTCAGTATTTCTATATAATGTTCTTTCTTCATGATGCCATCCATACTGTGAACTGGACCAGTCCCTCCTGCAGCAAAACAGCCCCACAACATGATGCTGCCGCCGCCATACTTCACAGTTGGGATGGTGTTCCTAGGCTTGTAAGCTTTCCCCCTTGTCCTCCAAATGTAACACTGGTCATTATGGCCAAACAGTTCAATCTTAGTTCCATCAGACCACAGGACATGTCTACAAAAATTATTCTTTTCCCCAGTGTAATTTAGCTAATTGTAATCTGGCTTTTTTGTTGATTCTGGCTTGTTGGTTTCCCCATGTTGTCACACAAGTAAGCAGTGTGTTTGAGGTTTTCCTTAAATACTATTCTACAGTTGTGCCTCCAATTAACTCAAATGTTGTCAATTAGCCAATCAGAAACTTCCAAAACCTTGACACCATCATCTGAGCTTTTTCACAGGCAGAATAATATTATTGTGTGTAAACTTGACTTTCAAGAAAAGTTATAACAATTTCTCAAAAAATCTCTCTCTCATTATTCTGCTATTAAGCTTAACAGAAACAAATTTGATAGTCCTATCTTACCTAAAAGAGAAAAAGTTGTCATATTAACATCTGACTTTTTTTTTTAAATGGTTATGTGCCTTTTTATAGTGTATGTAAACTTCTGGTTTTAACTGTATATGGCTCAAAGGCAAAAAGTAATTTTCAAGCATCAAAACAATAAGACATTTTATAAAATTGTTTATTAGAACATGATCAATAGAACGACTATCATACATTTTTACCATCATTCACAGAAGACAACCACTAAAATGTCAGTCAGTGTAACAATATTTGGTAACACTTCCTTGTTCCACATGTTCCACATACTTACGAGTAATTAATTGTGCATAATGACAAGTAACTAACCTTAAACTCCACACCCATTCTAACCCTAACCATATAATAAGTACATGTAATTACTCAGTGGTTACACTTTAACAAGCACAGCCTAAAATAAAGGGTAACCCAATGTTTTACACCAGAAAATCTTGTCTAGTGAATTTTAAAACAAGAATCATCTGATGGCACATTAAAAGACTCTATTTAAAAATATAGTGAAGCCCAAAAATATTCATTTGCCTGTTAACAAAACCCCTTTTGCAAATGCAATTTGATCAAAATGGGATATCTTGTTTTTGATGCATATACTAGTATTATGAAAGTGATGCATCAAATAGTGATGCCACGTTATTTTGATATATTACATGACTAAATAGACTACACCAGGGATGTCCAAACTTAGATTTTACCTCCAACTTGCCTCAATACGCCTGTAAGGATGTTTCTAGAAATCCTAGTAAGAGCTTGAATAACTAGCCCAGGTGTGTCTGATTAGAGTTGGAATTAAAGTTTGCAGGACACCGGCTCTCCAGGACTAAGTTTGGGCACCCCTAGACAGAAATATATTAGTCAAGCCAATCTAAGACAGTGCCATCATGTGGGCACAACTGAAAACACACTCTGTTCTGTAATAAAAAAGAGAGAAAATGTACTAACATATGATGGTAAATATAAGAAGAGTTTAGATGCAAAAACCTTCAAATGCCCTCTGAAATGTTCTCCTAAGATGAGATTTTTTCTCAACCTCGTATGTTTATGTTCAGGTCACTTGTAAGGCTATGAAAAGAACTTGTCAGTGTCTGTCAATATAATTGTAAAATTACTTAGCTAGCACGCAAGAGTAGCTTAAAAATGCTAATTTTAGAATAAATAAATAAATAAATAAAAAATAAAAGTGTAAGCTTTGAGAATTGATCAACTGGTCCGCAGCGCAGAAACTAAATTACACTTGAATGACCGGGAAAGACAGGCCATTTAAAATCAGTGGCCATTGTGACTTTTGTAAAGCTTAAGTGTGTCCAAATCAATACAAGACATTAAGGTTATTTCAAGGAATGGTGGCGTTAATTGACAGAGCATGGAATCGATGCATCACACATTACACAGTGCCTTTATGGTCACCGCTGAACTGTTCAGTGGATGAATAGAGTAATAGTCATTATTTGACTGGACATCTGCTAAATTGTGGTTGCCATTAAACAGACATACACCGATTTTTGCTCGAATTATTACATACCAATGGATAAAGGAGCTTGATGGCTGGATTATTTTTACAGTTTTTCTAGTTTGCTTTGACCTGGTTAAAGAAACTAGGTTCCTCTTCATTTTCATTATCACTATCCCAGCAGAGCAGAGGACCGGTCTTGCAAATGTGTAAACCCTTTCTCATTGGGTTGACACATTTTCCCTACCATTTTTCCAAACAGTTAACACAGATGTCATTCAAGCAGTCCAAGCTCCATTGTTTTAGTTTTGGTAACCAAACAGAATCCATCTGTTCCTAACTATTAAAAACTACCAACATCAGTATGAAATCACTGAAGCACCGGTTTGACACTCCTTCACACAAATCTTCAATTAGCCATCATTCTGCAAACCTTATAAAAACGATGGAAGGTCTGTGTTGTTCTGTGCCAGCATTGATGGAGGAGGTCAATATGGCTATGTCCTATACTGTAGTATATTAGTTTACATGTGTTTTCTCTAATATTTACAGTATTTTATCACTTTTGTCTGTTATTTTTATATACAGTATTTCAGTTTTCAGCCACAGTTTGAAAAATGTCATGAATTCAATATATATTCAATCAAAGCACATCTTATTCTTGATCCAATTCTTTGCAAAAAGGCGAATTTGACAGCCCAAATAGAGACAACAAATGCCATTGGCTATAAGCTACAATGGCAAGCAATGGTGGTGCATTTTGAGTTCTGTATTTTGTATTTTGTTGTCCATTGTGTAATGATTAATTGAAAGAGCTCATATACTTGTTTGCAAGTTGTGTAGTTTGAAGGTAAAACTAGCTTTTGTTGCATATGTTAAATGTTTTGACACAATATGTGCCTTTTGCAAGCAAAATGTGTCATTTTGACCTTGAGTGCCGCTGTTTAGGCCTGTGTGTTAACTGTTTTGAAAATGTGGAGTTTCAGTTGACAACTGCATCCAAGCAATCGAGAAAAACTGTAATCAATAGATAACTTGAAAGATAACTCACATGTATTGTGAAAGTTCAAAAACGCAGGACTATGCTACTGTGCTACTATGATGTGCACAAATGACTAGCTGTTTTGAGAAATGGATTAACTGTTGTGCAAATGTAAATAGTGTTGTGAGAAATGCACCAAAGCCACTGAGGAAAACTGTAAATCTAAAAGCAAAAGTTTAAAAGAACAGCATTTACTTGAGTTATAACATTATAAATCTCTTTTTTGCCTCTTTTAATGCTAAGTAATCATTTATTTGAAAGATATTATTGAACTGTATACTGTATGCATACAATCAAAACACTCCCCCTATCAATAATAATTATACATAATAATGTATAGGATCAGATGCTGAAATCATGGACAGACTCAGATCTACCTGAGAGCATGAAGTACTGCTTAAATCGGACAGAAAGGGCATTGCAGAGGTCTGATATCTGTCCCGTTCGGGAATGCTGTCATGAAGGGGGATCCTCTTCTGTCTGGCTCTGCAGTTCTGGAACCAAACCTGCAGGGAATTCAACACTATAAATAAATCCTTCGGTTTTTAGCTGACATGCTAACAAGAAAAAGCACCTGAATGACTCTTCGGCTCAGTCCGGTTGTGTCTGCCAGCCTCTGCAGAGTCGCAGCATCAGGGTTCTTGTCTCGGATGAAGTGCGTCTGCATAATCTGTGCAAATCAAACACAGATTGTATGGGAGTGGTGAACATCCGTGTGATTTTGCCTTCATTCATTTGTTAGGCTTGCAAAGTCATACAGAAAAAGTGTACTTATTTCTTCTTTTATTTGCATGCTTGTCAACCTTCTCAATGTTTCAGATCATCGAACTAGTTTAAATATTAGTCAAAGATAGCAAGTAGGGATGTAACAATATTGAAAATACCGTCATACCGCAATAGTAATTTTTTTCAATATTACCGTAGGCGCATGACTCAATAAAACTATATTTCTGAGAAAAGTTTGCATAGGCGAATGAACAGGAGGTAGCGGGAACTACAATTCCCATCAGCCTAGGCGGGGCCATCATCCTTTGCGGTCTGTTGTCACTACAGATCCAGTAATGCGGAAATTGAGTGTGTTAGAGGGGAAGAAAAAGAGCTGGAAATGATCGAACCTAGAGCGGGTTTTAAATCGGATGTTTGGAAGCATTTCGGTTTCTTTCTAAAAAGATACGAGAAAGGAGAAAAGGTGACAGACAAAGAAAAAAACAGTATGCAGGCACTGCCAGACTGTGGTGAAATATGAGTCGGGGAATACGACTAAAAACAGTCATGGGGACTGCAGAACACAACACACTTGTTAGATTGATGCAGACATTGACTTGTACCGTAAAGAGACCTCTATCTCACTCATGGCTTGTCCTCTCAAGTCGTGAAAAGACAATGCACAACGTTACCCACTGCTGTCAACCTTGGCTAAATCATATCTCTCTGTCCCAGAAACCTCAGTCCCAAATGAGAGGGGTTTTTTTCTGTTGCAGGTGACATTGTCAGAGATCCCAGCTTTTACCAGATTATAATTATATGATCATTTTCCTTAAAAAACCCATCTCTATCCAAGTGAGTGAGTGATTAAATGTTGAATGTGATGAGTTTTCAACAATACTAAATTGAAACTTTTTTTTTTTTATATGGTTTAATAATTTTTTATTAATAAAATTGAAAAATTCAAGTTCCTGTTTCGAAACTTACAGATAGATGGCTAATTTGTAAGTCATTGATATGTTCAGTGCTAAGGTAAATAAACACTTTTGGCACTTTTTTCGAGTCTTTTCATTAGTTTTGTTTTTCTTGTAAATTATTCAATAAATACCGTACCGTGCCTTTCATACCGAGGTATTATCGTACCGTGAAATTCTGATACCGTTACATCCCTAATAGCAAGTGAACACATCATACAGTTTTTAACTAAAGGTTTTTTTTTTTTTTTATTAAGAGAAAACAAAATCCAAACTTACAGTACAAAGCCCTGTGTGAAAAAGTGTTGGCCTCTCGACTAATATTTAAACTTGTTTGATAATCTGAAACATTAAAGTGTTGAAACATGCAAAAAAAGAAGTTTGTAAGGAGGCTAACACTTTTTTTTTCACACCACTGTAGCTGTCTAACAGTATTTTAATGTCCTTTAACCACATGTGGAGAAAAGGCGGCACACTGTAAAACTGAATTAATTCAATCAAACGAGCTAATTTCACAGACAATCTAAACAGTTGATTTTATTTAATAGAAACAGGTTACGTGAACAAAAGAAAAATGTATTACAGTGAACTAAAACTGAGCTTTCCTAGTATAAAAATGGGGAAATAAGTGTTAAAATTGAGTTTATTTTGTGTGTTTTTGCAAAATATTAACGTAGAGAAACATAATTTAGTCCTTAATATTGTAATATGTTGGTATTTTCAGAGATTTATGTTATATTGAAATTTGTAGGGTTACTACAGTTGTCTGAAAATATTGTACAGTATACTTCACTCTACACTCACCGGCCACTTTATTAGGTACTAGTACTGGGTTGGACCCCCTTTTTCTTTCAGAACTGCCTTAATCCTTCGTGGCATAGATTTAACAAGGTACTGGAAATATTCCTCAGAGATTTTGGTCCATATTGACATGATAGCATCACACAGTTGCTGCTGATTTGTCGGCTGCACATCCATGATGTGAATCACCCGTTAAACCACATCCCAAAGGTGCTCTATTGGATTGAGCTCTGGTGACTGTGGAGGCCATATGAGTACAGTGAACTCATTGTCATGTTTAAGAAACCAGTTTGAGATGATTTGCGCTTTGTGACATGGCGTGTTATCTTGCTGGAATAGCCATCATAAGATGGTACACTGTGGTCATAAAGGAATAGACATGGTCAGCAACAATACTCAGGTAGGCTGTGGCGTTGACACGATACCAAAGTGTGCGATGAAAATATCCCCCACACCATTACACCACCACCACCACCAGCCTGAAGCGTTGATACAAGGCAGAATGGATCCATGCTTATATGTTCTTGATGCCAAATTCTGACCCCACAAATTCTAAAATGTCACAGCAGAAATCGAGACTCATCAAACCAGGCAACAATCTTCTATAGTCCAATTTTGGTGAGCCTGTGTGAATTGTAGCCTCAGTTTCCTGTTCTTAGTTGACAGGAGTGGCACCCAGTGTGGTTTTCTGCTGCTGTAGCCCATCCGCCTCAAGGTCCGACATGTTGTGTGTTCAGAGATGATCGTCTGCATACCTCGGTTGTAACGAGTGGTTATTTGAGTTACTGTTGCCTTTCTATCAGCTGGAACCAGTCTGGCCATTCTCCTCTGACCTCTGGCATCAACAAGGTATTTACGCCCACAGAACTGCCACTCACTGGATATTTTCAGACCCTTTTTTCAGACCATTCTCTGTAAACCCTAGAAATGGTTATGCGTGAAAATCCCAGTAGATCAGCAGTTTCTGAAATATTCAGACCAGCCCGTCTGGCACCAAAAACCATGCCACATTCAGTCACTTAAATCACCTTTCTTCCCCATTCTGCTGCTCAATTTAAACTGCAGTAGATCGTCTTGAGCATGTTTACATGCCTAAATGCAGTTGCTGACATGTGATTGGCTGATTAGAAATTTGCGTTAACAAGCAGTTGGACAGGTGTACCAAATAAAGTGGTCGGTGAGTGTATATCTATACATACTACATTTATTCAAGTGTAAAAAAAAAGTCTCGACAGATATTCCTAACACTCTAAGGATTTTATTTTTTACACCAAAATGTTATTTACTGACTATTTACCCACCCTCAAATGGTTTCACATATACTTTTAGAAACTGAAAACTATTGACACCCATAATAGGAAAAACAAATACTATGGAAGTCAATAGTACCGGCATCCAAAAGTTTTAAATAACTTTTTTTGTTCAACAGAAAAAAAAACTCAAACAGGTTTGTGGCAAGAGTAAATGATCATGGCATTTTCCATTTTGGGTGAGCTATAATTTTAATCATTAACATATGAGTTTATGTGGTGCTACACAACACTGGCACAAGTAGGTTGGAAATAAGGGTATCATATTACAATAAGGTTGCATTAGTTCATGTTAGTTATGCTTTTACCAACGTGAACAAACACTGAACAATACATTGATTACAGCATTTGTTCATGCTAGTTAATGGAAACAAAGTTGTTAGTTCATGTTAACTCAAGTGCATTACCTAATAATAACAAGCATGAATTTGGTTAATGTTAATAATGCATTAGTAAATGTTGAACTATAATTAATAAATGCTATGCAAGTATTGTTCTTTAATTGTTCACGTTAGTAAATGTATTAACTAATAAAATTCTATTGTAAAGTGTGATCAATATAGGAGCTATAAATGAGAGACAACTACACTGAAATTTTTTTTTAAAGATGATTCCTTGGATTTACTCTTGTTTTTTTTTACGTTAAGTGGTTGTAAACAATCTATTTGTGTTGAATTTAAACAAACAAATTAAGTTGAACATTATTGAATTTAATTTGTTTGTTTAAATTCAACACAAATAAATTGTTTGCAACAGTTCTGCATGCAACACTTTTTTCAGTGAAGCATTACACATGCTGTTGAACAAAACAAACATAATTTATACTAACATAAAAACTAGACTGTAGCAAAAAGATTCCACAAATGATGAGAGTAATCTGAACCCATCAGGTTTGAGAGTGTATGTAAATCGTACCTGTATCTGCTCTGAGGTGAATGAAGTACGAGGTCTTTTAGACGCCTTTGGGAGATACTGAATGGGTAGAGCTCCATCCAAATGTATTAGATTTCCTGTAATGATACAAATGACCTCATTTAAACATGGAGCTTTCTAGTTAGCATGTAAACTATTGTCTTGGTGTACTATTCAGCTTGAAACATGCATGAAATAGTCAAAAAGCTGACTGTTACACATATTATAATTATGACAGAAATAAACGTACCGTTGTCTGACAGTTGCTGCAGGTTTAGCAGTGTAATGTCGTAGTGAACGCGACAGAGAACCTGGTTCTCCATCAAGCCGAACTCTTCGCCTGTAGAAAGCTGTCTTTTGCAGAAGAAGCAAGCAAAGCAGGCGAGGTGGTAGATGTCATTTCCAGCCCTCCGAATCCAGTCATTTGCACTGACTTGATGGCCACATCGAGCACATTTTATGCCAAAAGTACTGAAAAGAAAGTAAAGTATTGAAGACGTATGCTCATTTTGGTTTAACTCTACAAATTTGGTTTCAAATCACTTTTATTGTCACATTATCAGCAGCACATGTACTATGATGAATGAAAAGCTTAGGTGCTGGCTCCAGACAGTGCAAAATACAACAACATACTTCAAAAAGCAAAACAAAACAATAATTAGCAATGTTGACAGTAATATATAAGAGACAATAAATACATGAAGACAATAATTGCGTTAGGAAAAACACATTTATTGTCTTAACATATTTTTTTTTTGTCTCGTATATATTACCAACGAGCATAAAATGACCATGAGGCGACACTCTAGTGCAATTTGGCGAACAGCCACTAGATGGCACGACGGCCAATTTGGAATGAAAACTCCAATAGAACAACAGCATATTATAAGTCTGTAAAATAAACTATTAAAAGTGTTAATGATTGTCATAGTAAGTGTTGTATCGTCGTCTTTCAGGTTGTTTCTCAGCTTTAATGCGCTTTTTTAAATAAATAAATAAATAAATAAATAAACAAAGCAGCTGCTTGACATTTTAACAGCAATAGGATCAACGGACGGCCGACCGCTTTCACTCCAAAATGGCGGAATCCAGCACGTCTTAGGCTATCTAAAATATAAGCTTTACACATGCCTTTAGTTGTACATCAGTATACGAAATACATAATTTTAAATAGTTTTATGTCATTATAACACTCAGATCTCAGATCACTCAGATCTTTAGGATCATATAAACTAGAAACTTTGAGAGTTCAGTCAAAGCAGGGTGAATTAGCTTTCAGCTACTACAATCCCCGCTGCTGGAATCAGCTTCCAGAAACGATTAGATGTGCTGCAACATTAGGCACATTGAAATCAAGACTGAAAACACATCTGTTTAGCTGTGCCTTTACTGAATGAGCACTGTGCTACGCCCCACAGATAGCACTATTGTGTCTTTCTTTTCTTTTTCATTCTTTTATAATCTGTTTTAACACATTTTCATCTGTTTTTAATCATTTTTATTATTTGTTTTTTATTTTCTTATACTTGTGTTTTTTTTTAATTCTTGTTTATGTAAAGCACTTTGATTTGCCACTGAAATGTGGTATATAAATAAACTTGCCTTGCTTTGCCTTGATGAAAGATTTAGAAATTCGTTTAGTAAACAGACCTACTGTAAGGAAACACCTGCTTGGCATAAATGCTTGAAAATGATTTAATAATTTTAATATTTAATAGACACTTAAAAGTAATCAAAAAGTAATCTGATGTATTCAGTTACTTTACTTTTACAAAGTAATTGAAAAGGTACCTATTTCATTTTAAATTGTGTAATTTGTAACCTGTAATCTATTAAATTTCCAAAGTAACCTCCCTAACACTGCAGACAGACAGAAAGATAGACAGACAGACAAACAGATAGATAGATAGACAGACAGACAGACAGACAGACAGACAAACAGATAGATAGATAGACAGACAGACAGACAGACAGACAGATAATTATATTATTGAAACATGCACTCCCAGTTTCTCTCATAATTAAAAAATGCAAACTATTGATGACACTTTCTTAAACTTAAAGATAAACATTTTTGTCTTTTTTCTAAGCATAAAATACCCCACGTGTTTACATGTTTTCAGTCATGTTTTATATGTTTTAGACAGCATAATATAATGTTTATTTACACTCAAAAGTGTTAATAAAACAATATTTAATATAATAGCCCTGCATTTCAGTCATAACAATAAAAAATACAAATTCAAATGTTAAATACTTTACCTGTTATAATCAGTTCTGCAGAAAATCTCTTTATTTCGGATGAAGCAGCTGTTCTGGTGACCCAAAGACACTGCGCACACAGAGCACTGCAAACACCTCAGATGCCAAGTTAATCCATTCACCTGCGAGGAGAAATTACCTTTAATATATACACACATATATAAACTCACAAAATTTTGATATTTCTTCTTCGTATTTTATTCGTCATAATTTTGAGGTATAAATGAGCACCTTAAGCACATATCTGTCAAATATCTCTGTCGAGCAGCCAGTGCAGATGAAGACAGGCAATATCGTTGAACACCCTGATGTCAAAACAGGTCTTTTCTCCCTCAAACTCCGATAATAAAGGTTCGTCGACGAATTTAACATATTTGTAGAATAGCGTTAAAATATTTTTAAGAAATTATTTTATTTTATTTAACTATTAGTCACATAGTGAAAACAATTCTCACCATTTTTGAGCGCGACGCCACTTGAAGCGGATTTTTAAACTCTCACCAAACCAACACTCAGACGGTTTTGCTACACCTGTATATAAAGCCATCTCCATTTATAACAGAATTATCGATTAGGCTTTTAACCTCTAAGCCCTTCAGAATTATTATCATCTGACATGTAATAAGAGAACAGAGAAAAGTCCATATAATTGGGATGACTTCAAATGGTCAGGGCTGGAAGTGTACACTTTAGCTGTCAGTCAAATACAATAAATGCAAAAAAGTAGCCAACATAGAAGATTAATTGAAGGCAGATTCTGTGTTTAGCTTGTGGCAGAAAAATAGCGAAAGCTTATGTTATATTATCTAAAATTTAAGTGTTTTTTTATTGTTTTATTTTTAATCTACACTGAGAGTTGCGGGTTAGACTTTGGGTTGACTGTAAAATATTGTGTTTAAAGAATCCAACATTGGACTCAGTAATACTCAAATATATGAAATATTTGACTGCAGATCATTCAAATGAACACAAAGTAGGCTGTTAAATTCCATTTTTGTTACTGCCAACCTCAGTAGCATACCGTAACATGAATAGTGACTTACCTCAACTTTAGATGATCTGAGAAATCATAATAATTTGAAGAATACATTGCTTAAACCTCAAAAGAGCAAAGTGGAAAAGTGCAATCTGATACCATTGATATGGACAGGGGAAAAGATCTCAGGTTATCCTTTGTGGCATTTTACAAGCCATGGAGGTAACCCTGATACTTTAGAGAAAGACAGATAGGTGGGTACATTGAGGGCTTTAGTAGGAGAAATCCAAAATTGAAAAATTTGGTTACAGGTTTCTAGAATTCTTCAAACAAATCTCCTTTTGCATTCAGCAGAACCAAAGGCACAAGTTGGTTTGGAACAAGGCAATGAAGGCTTTTTTGCACAGACATTGAGCAAATGGAATATATATGTTAACATGTCAAATGGTAAGCAGACTCCCAAGGAAAATCTTCAAATCAAAAAGTAATAAAAAGCTATAAAATGAATTGAAATGTATTTGAAATATACATGGGGGGAAATATACATAAATTCATCTTTATTTCTATAGGGCTTTTACAATGTAGATTGTGTCAATGCAGCTCAATAGAAGTTCTAGTAAATTGAAACAGTGTCAGTCCAGTTTTCAGAGTTGATAGTTTAGTTTAGTTCAGTGTGGTTTAATTTTCACTGCTGAAAGTCCAAACACTGAAAAGCAAATCCATCGATGCGCAGCTCCATAAGTCCCAAACCAAGCAAGCTAGTCGCGACAGTGGCGAGGAACTAAACTTCACCATTTCATGAAAGTAAAGTAAAAAAAAAAAAAACTTGAGAGAAACCAGCCTCAGTAGGGCACAACCATTTCTCCTCTTTTTAGGATGCTTTTAAACAGAGCGTCTTCATTTGTTGAACATGTGTTTTTATTTATAACATTTACCCAGCAGGGAACATTCTGAACTTTGGCTAACATTCTAGCAGGATTCCTTTAATGTGTTTGTTATGAAACATGTAATTAAACTGACAAAATAAATGATCTGTTAGCACACAAATCTATGCAAGTTATTCCATGGAAATCATTGTTTGCTTTAGTAATCTTTTTTTAAGCATTATACACTGATTGTTGGTGCCTTACTTCACATACAGCAATACAAAGTATTGATGACACAATCACAATAAATAAAAAAAGCCTCAATTGTGCTTTTTTTCAATTATTTTGGTTAAAATTTATGTTTTAAAACAATCTGAAAAAATCCAAAATAATATACAGTTTGCAAAAATATTATATTGAATGTTCCCTCATAGGGTGGCACGGTGGCGCAGAGGGTGTCACCTCACAGCAAGAAGGTCGCTGGTTCAAGCCCCAGCTAGGTAAACTGGCATTTCTGTGGAGTTTGCATGTTCTCCCCGTGTTTGCATGGGTTTTCTCAGGGTGCTCTGGTTTCTCCCACAAGTCCAAAGACATGCGCTATAGGGAAATTGGGCGAGCTAATTAGTCCATGTATGTATGTCCTGGTCCTCCAGTTTGAGGGTTGAGCATTGGGCTAACGACCCACCTCGTAAAAATTACATGCTGTGAAACACCAATATTGTGCAGCTAAATATCAACTTCGATATAAATGGCCTTGGGATTGAGTTAAGTATGTTCCCTCATAACTAAAGTATCACTAATACAATATAATTAATAATACTTAATAATATATATTCATTCATTAATTTTCCTTCGGCTTAGTCTCTATTTCAGAGGTCGCCACAGTGGAATGGACCACCAATTTTTGCGGCATATGTTTTACGCAGCGGATGCCCTTTCAGCCGCAACCCAGTACTGGGAAACACCCATACGCATTTATTCACACACACAATCATACACTATGGCCAATTTAGTTTATTCAATTCACCTATTGCACTTGTCTTTGGACTGTGGGGGAAACCGGAGCACCCCAAGGAAACTCACTTAGCCAAGGGGAGAACATGCAAACTCCACACAGAAATGCCAACTGGTCCAGCCTGTACTCAAACCAGCGACCTTCTTGCTGTGAGGCAACAGTACTAACCACCTGTTCCGAAACAGGGATTAAAATTGTTACATTGTTGCTCTTTGCTCTTGAGAAGGGTGCGCAATGTATTTAAGGACCGGGAGGGAGAGGGGCGACTCCCGAAACTTCCGGGAGACTAGGGATGTCTGGAATGACCTCCCGCCCTACTCATAACTTTCTCTTCATATAGCCGTATGCATATGACATATCCATAAAACACTGTGATATAATCGGGCTCGGATCGTATCGATTTCTCATTACAATCGATCCACTCATTGGAGCGATTGATTTAGCGCGGATCCAATTGCGATTGCTGGATTCACATATGCCAAACGAACCACGCCAACTGGGCAAACGAGACAGGTTCCGAAACAAAAGTCTAGGTGTGAAAGCCCCCCTAGATATTGCTTAATAATGATAGCAGGTTTGGCATGCTGTCTCGGGAGAGAACCCTGAGCTCGGAGATAATTAAGCCCAGGGCTCCTGCCTGGTTGATGAGCATGTAAAGGGAGTACAAGATCAGGTAGTTCTTGAGAGCTCCCCCTGGTTAAGGAAGAAAGGGGGGATCGGGGGTTTCTTCGGAAAACGAAGAAAAGGGATTTATTTTTAGCCGGGCTAGTGAGTTTAGATTAATCTAATTGGCTAACTAATGATTGTAGATGAGATACTAGCTGCGGTTAATCATATCACATGCTCCTCTCGAAATTAAGCTGCGTTCACACTAGAGTTTGTGTGTGCGAAATTCTGTCATGCGGCGCTGAGATTGAAAGATTATTAGGCATTAAAAATGCAAGCGATTGCTCTATATTTTAAATTTCTGTCCAGAGATGTCATGTTTTGATCCTCGGTTGGTCTCACGCAGTCAAGTGATGCGATTTCTCAGGTCAGAGTTCACCAAGCTTGAACTTTGCACCGCAGCAACCTGCGAAACTTGACGCATGACCATGCATTTCCGGTCTGACGTATTGGCGTGCGTATAAATGGAAGTCTATGAGAGGAAAAGCCCAGTGTGACCGCAGCTTCAGCTTGTGAAACGTCACATAATTAACATAAATGTGCACAATAAGTTTTTGTTAAAGAAAGTTTTATGAAATTATTGTTTTATATCTAAAACAGTTTATTTTAAATAGTTTAACTGGATGTTTACCACAAAATCTGTAGATTTATAAAGACCAAGACACTGCTTCTGAGTCACTTTGTATGCCATGGGTACTTGGTTGTTTTCTAAATCGTGATTTTAGGCCTTTTTAGGAGACTTTGTGCTTTCAGTATACAACTAAATGTCAGAGAGGTGTATACACACAGTTTCCTGTTGATCAAACCACCGTCATTTATTCCAAAAACACATTTAACTGTGTACTAACTCTAAAATCATTAACTATGACTAGGATTTAGCATCAGTCCGGGCTGTGGTGCTGCATAAATCAAATAATGTCCAAGTTGACAGAATCAACGACAGATTTGTTGCTATTTCAGACGAGCCGCATTTTACATGAGATGTTGAAAGAGTATTGTGATTAGGGTTGTAAAGAAGGTTGTGTTCTTTGCTAATTAAGGATTGGACAATAGGATGATTTATGAGAAACTTACCCGGGGCAGAAGAGTGTAAGAATAGGGTGGGGGAGCGGTCAGAGGTTGTAAAACGTATAATAAAATTTAGGGAGGATTTTATTGGATCTGCTGGAAGCCATTTAGTGGTAAATTCTTTCAGTAGTTTGTTTTGTTTAGTCAGTACACAAGCTGCTCTGCGTGTCAAGATAATCAAGACAAACACCTTTTGTCCAGATTGGTTCTTTTATGCGTATAAGTTGAGATCAGCTATGCTTCCATTGTTTAAATCGATGCTTAAATATTAAGGTTTATTTTCTCTTTCATAATTATAGTGGCAGATTTGTGTCATTCTTGTTTCCCAGAAGTTCAGCCTTCAGCCAATGTGAAAAATCATTCTGATAGATGTGAAAATAAAATCTGTCTAAAATCTGTCTAAAAACTGTCTGTTGGCAAAGTATATTAGTAAAATAGTTTGCTTTTCTATAGATTAATGATTGTGCATGACTATTACCAAAGATAGTTGCTCGCAGCAATTTTTGAATGTTAAATGAAGAACAGGAGAAAATAAAAACAAATCTGTGTGACCATTTTTCCCAGCAAGCATTTTTTTTTTTGTGTTTAATAGATGTCTAATAGATGTCTAAACATAGTCGTCTTTGCTAAAACAAGGCTAAATTTGGGCTGTCTGTGAAAATCTATATGAAAAGGTCAAAACTAGTCATCAAATGAACAGAAATGAATGACACATGTAAAGCCTGTCTAATCTGTCTATTTGATGATTAGTCTAGTTTTGGGCTAGTCTTAAATTACTATTAGAATTTTACTGACAGCCCAAATTTAGCCTTGTTTTAGCCAAGCTGCCTACATTTAGATGTCTATTAGATGTCTATTAAATACAAAATTGTTTGCTGGGTTGATACTTGCCATTTAAACAAACGTATCTGGAAAAGTGCTGTGATTTATAATTGATTTAATGTGATGTTACAGAAATGCATAATTTCTCAGATCATGTAGTTTACTGAAAATATCAAATGATTATTTAATACAATTTAATGTTGCTTTCTCCTGCAACCGTATTGTTGTTATTAATCGGTTTACAATAACTCCAATAGCCTATTACACAGCCAGAACTGTTTAGTTAAGTTATTTCTGGTAGTGTTCAGAAATTCCAAAGTCCACAAACAAACACATTTATTAGTCTGCATATCTAAACTATGTTTTTGAAGACTTTGTGGAACCTAAAGATATTTATTTGTTTATTAATTAGTATTGCAATATGATAGAAGAAGATATAGGAAGCTCAGTGGTCTCTTTTTAAATGAATATTTTCTATTTATTGCTTTACTATAATATATTTGTGCATATACATTAGAATGTCATTAAAGTGTTTATTAGATTGTCAATAAAGACAAAAATTGAACTAATCTAACAAAAATGAAAGAATAAAAAATCATATAGTCCAATAATTAATGCACTCGAATTGATATGTTGGGGAAAAAACGTTAAATACAATTTTAACAAACAGGAAAATCCAAGATAAACATAAAAATATACAATTTAGTTAGAATTTTGTAGTCTGCATATATATTTACACAAGTCACTGTATAACAATGGCTTGTTTTGTTTTGACTATCGGAAAAATATGTAAGGGGCTAAATAATTTTGTCCTTAAAATGATGTTTAAAAAATTAAAAACTGCTTTCATTCTAGCCGAAATAAAACAAATAAGACTTTCTCCAGAAGAAAAAAATATTATCAGACATACTGTGAGAATTCCCTTACTGTTAAACATCATTTGGGAAATATTTAAAAAAGAAAAAAAATTCAAAGGGGGACTAATAATTCTGACTTCAACTGTATATATATAGACGGTAGGTGAATAAACTCTTACTGTAATGGATATAAAATTAAATGTACCAAAATTATTGCCCATATATATTTATGTCTAGTATTACCATATTATAAACGCCCAAAAATGTCAAAAAAGCAACATCTAATGGAGATGAGCAAACTAATACTCTTGTAACTTAATGAGTTAATATGTTTCATTTAGGATGTTCGTACAGCAGACCTTTTGACGTTTATTATATCACTCAGCAAACGCTTTCTAGACCAAACGCACTTACAAATGTTTACAATCTTGGTGCCATGTGGCTTTACGATCTTCACGAATGCTTGTTCATAAGATTATTGTTTTAAAGCATAAGAATTGCAGATGTTTTTGAAGTCCGAATACGTTGCGTCTTAGTAAAAGTGAGGTCTGTAGCAGACTCGAACACACGGTGGCGCCCTGAAGGTTTACTTTTCTTTCTACTATCTTTTCAGTAACTTCAGAAACAAGTGTGACCCTCATGTCTTTTTGTGTGTGCTTTGTTTTTAATCGTGAAGTTGTCCTGAAGCGGAAGGCTGGTGTTTCTTGTTTGCTTTCGCTATAAAAGTTCCACTCGACTGCTTTTTTCCCCCTTCATCAATCTGCGAGAATCCTCCGCGAGCTGACTTTGGCTTGAGTCTCACATGGGATGATAAACAAAATGGATTTATTTATTTGCAGCTTTTTCTTTCGTGAACACCACTTTTGAAGACGTTGTTGTTTTTTAATTATATATAACAGGCCTGTATATATTTTAATCATAATTATTTTTGTGTTCAAAACTACAATGAGAGGTGAGCAATGAAAGTTTGTCTTAAATCGGTTTAATATACTAGCATTACAATGCCAACTGTGACAAACCCTATCAGATAATTTTCTTTACAGAGTGTAACTTTTTGCTGAAGTGGACGGTGATTTTGCTGCTGAGTGTGTCCTTTTGTGCTGGTGAAGAAAGCCCGACTTCATCAAACACTGGTAAGTAACGTTAACGTTATATAAAGAAAAGGTTATAAGACTTATTAAATGCTCATTACTTAGAGAACAGTGTATCAGTCACTATTGTGGTATTTTCAGTTGTGCACTTCCAGAATTACAATATATTTTAATGTGATTTTCTGAGTATTTCTTTTCAGTTGTTTCTAACTAAAATTATCACCTAATAACTGCATCCTTTTAGCTCAAAGATGTATTCACATATATGTATAAAATCTCTAGGTATTTACACTGTAAACAAATTCTTGCTGCCTTAAATTTTTTTGTTGAATTAAATGAACTTTCTCAACTTACATCAATCAAACGCTCTAAAGATATTAAGCTTGGTATAGCTTTAAAAACGTAGTTAAAACCCGATTAACTTATTAAACAACATTACATTATGTATCTTGACTTTTTGTTATACATTGTGTACAGTGTGTCTAGTAATAAACATTTTCAAGCTGCGTATCAATGAGATTTCCAGCATGACTCTGCACTCACTTTCGTCCTCATAAAGGTATGCCTGTGAGGCAGCGAACAAGTCTGATCTTGGTTAGAAAGTTGTGTATGGTATCTTCCTGTCTGTCACTCTGTTTACATAGTTTAGATTATTAGACTAAACTAGGATTTTTGTGTTTGGTTAATAGATTAAGAAACTTTGTCAGACACTGGTTGTGTTTCTCTGCTCACTAATTAAAACCAACAAAGACCAGACAGAAGGAGATTCTGCTTATCTGCTGCACGGTTTGTGCAAAGCTACCACATTTCATTCAAAATTTCCTCTATTTTTGGATTGTTGCCGCCAAAATGTCAAGAGCTGTAGACGGTCACGCACTCCCCTAACAACCACAAGCTGAGATATGAAGCATGTTGTATTTATGATATGAAGCTTGTTGTATTTAAGTCTTATCAGGGAAAACCTGCTGTCTCATTCTTATTTCAAATAAACAACTTAAAATAAAGTAAAATAAAAATGGGTTACAATTTATTTTAAGTCGCATTAACTGCTATGTACATTCATTTGAATGAATCATTTAGTATAATGCACATGCACGTTCTGCTTATATTTTAGATTTATTAGCATGTAATACATCTGTAATTAATTTATGGAATTATATTTAAAATGAAATCTACCCAAACCACCAAAGCTGTCCCTAACCCTACCCACATCCCATCTTAATAGCCGCTTAAGTCATTTTCAATACAATATGAACACAATAAGTGCATTGTGCTTATTAATTTTGATGTAAGTACATACTGCAGTAGTTAATGTCTCTTAAATTAAAGTGTAACCAAAAAATGTAATCAAAAGCGCAAGTTAAACAACCTGCTGTGCAGTGCATGTAGATAACTTGGCTTATTTACAATGTTTAAATAGACATTGTTTTTTTTGTCGGCTTAGTCCCTTTATCAATCCGGGGTCGCCACAGCAGAATTAACCCCCAACTTATCCAGCAAGATTTTACGCAGCGGATGCCCTTCCAGCTGCAACCCATCTCTGGGAAACATCCTCACACATATTCACACACACACTCATACGCTACGGACAATTTAGCCTACCCAATTCACCTGTACCACATGTCTTTGGACTGTGGGGGAAACCAGAGCACCCGGAGGAAACCCACACAAAGGCAGGGAGAACATGCAAACTCCACACAGAAACGCCAACTGAGCCGAGGTTCGAACCAACAACCTTCTTGCTGTGAGGCGACAGCACTACCTACTGCGCCACTGCCCTGCCCTACGGCTATTTAGGTTATGGTTATTTAGGCTAATAATATACAAAAGACAAGGGAATGGTATAATCAGGGTGTTAAAATATAAAAATAAGCGCTCACCTTTTAGAGATAACCTACAAACTTCACTGAGCAATAGTCACACACAATAAGCAAATCCCAGCCAGGCCCGTCACATTTTTGGGCCCCCTTTATTGCATGTGTTGTGAGAAGCATCACAGCACGTGTTTGCACATTTTCTTAATGTGCTTGCGTTGTGAGGATTTGCAACACATTTCCTGTCAAACCGTGGAAGATTTTTTCTTAACCCCTTAGACCCGAATTATGTTACAAGTTTCTTAAGGCTCCTATAAATGTAAATTGCTTCCTTGTCCTCATTTGTAAGACGCTTTGGATAAAACCGTCTGCTAAATGACTTAATGTAAATGAGACCAAATTATGATAATCAAAATTCAACACCTTTTATATTTTTTGTCCAATTCAGTGGACATCAGGTCAGAGCAGTTGTACTTCCTGAACATTATAACAACATAAAATACAAAAAAAAAATACATAATAATCTTAAGATAATCTTGAAAATTATTTTCAAAATCACAAACATTAACATTGTAACATTTATACTTAAAATTTTGAGGTTTTTGTTGTATAGATTGCGCCTTGTTTATAATAAACTTTATCTTCATCTTCCTCATAACTCCACATAATGTCCACATCTGCGATATTTCCATCTGCTATATGCTCAAGAACATTAAGATCTGTATATTCTGCATATGAAATTGTTTCAGCAATGAGTTAGTACATCTATATAGTTTTTATTGCAAAAAAGTTCAATCAGTATTACTGGAAATGTAATTTCAGTAACAGATCTTGAACCCACCGTACATCCTAATGGACAGACATATTTGGAAAAATCCTCATCTAAAGCTTGCAATGTTGCATAAGATCTGAAACTTTAATTATTAAGTGCAATCCCTCTTTTTTTAACATAAAATCTATTAAATATTGGCAAACGTTAATAAATCTGAATAAAAACATTGTAAATCTGTTCACGTCTGTGTCTGAAGTAAATTGATGCCATGCTGCTTTTCAGTGTAGTGGATTCTTTTCAAATGACAACATGCCGAGCCTTTCCGCAGTTTGATTGGATGACAATCGTCCACTCTTACGGACTGCAGGCTTTAAATCAGATGAAATGCTCAGGAACCAGAAAAAATAGGGGCTGACGTGACGTCTATTGTAATAGGCACAGGGTCTGAATGGGTTAATTTGCTGGTGTTTTTAGTAATTGCATGTGTTTTCTTAAATTGCAGTGCATTAAGCACTCTCGGCCACTGTACAGTAGCATAGCCTAGCATGTATTTTTTGTAGTTAAGTCCAAAGCACTTGGATTTTGATTTAAAATTGAATCTAAATGATTCAATTAATGTATTGTTTATAAAAACAATGTTTTACCATTGAGTTAATGCATTTTTTCCCCTTGGGCAGAATAAATATTTAGATTCATATTAAAATTTCATTTTCAACCAAGTCAAAACTATATTTTGAGTTCAATTATAAATTTACCTGTAACAAATTACAGTATATTTTAGGTTGGTCTAAAGCTAAATCAATCTTTTTGATCTAAGGTTAAAAAAAGATAGTTTCCTGATTTGTGCTTAAGTAAAAGATATACACTCACCGGCCACTTTATTAGGTACACCTGGATTTTCATGCACAACCATCTCTAGGTTTTACAGAGAATGGTCCAAAAAAGAAAACGGAATGAGAATGGCCAGAGTGGTTCCAGCTGATATTAAGGCAACAGTAACTCAAATAACCACTTGTTACAACCGAGGTATGCAGAAGAGCATCTCTGAACACACAAAACATCCAACCTTGAGGCTAATGGGCTACAGCAGCAGAAGACCACACCCGGTGCCACTCCTGTCAACTAAGAACAGGAATCTTTGGATGATAGAAGATTGGAAAAGCGTTGTCTGGTCTGATGAGTTTCGATTTCTGCCTCGACATTCAGATGGTAGGGTCAGAATTTGGCATCAACAACATGATGAAAACAAGATCCATACTGCCTTGTATCAACAGTTCAGGCTGGTAGTGGTGGTGTAATGTTGTGTTTTCTTGGCACACTTTGGTTCCATTAGTACCAATTGAGCACCAATTGTGTCAATGCCACAGCCTACCTGAGTATTGTTGATGACCATGTCCATCCCTTTATGACCACAGTGTACCCATCTCCTTATGGCAACTTCCAGCAAGATAACACACCATGTCATAAATCGCGAATCATCTCAGGAGTTCACTGTACACAAATGGCCTCCACAGTCACCAGAGCTCAATCCAATAGAGCACCTTTGGGATGTGGTGGAACAGGAGATTTAAATCATGGATGTGCAACTGACAAATCTGCAGCAACTACGTAATGCTATCATGTCAATATGGACCAAAATCTTTGAGGAATATTTCCAGTACCTTGTTGAATCTATGCCACGAAGGATTAAGGCAGCTCTGAAGGCAAAACAGGGTCCAACCTGATACTAATAAGGTGTACCTAATAAAGTGGCCGGAGAGTGTATCTTTATTAAACCATGTTTTTACTTTGTGTGAATGTAATTTTTTTTTTTCTTGACCACAATAAATATTTCTGATTTAGATTAAATTACATTTTAGACTTAGAACCAACGATAAATTTTAGTTTGAGAGAAAAAAAATAGCTGTAAAAATTCACAGTAATTTTTATAAGTTGGTTCAACGTTTAATTTTTTTCAGTGTAGGGTTAGAATACATGTTAAGTTCAGGGATAGCCGCATGCAGTTATGTATAATGTATATAAAAAGGACAAATTCATAAAGTGTTACCAAACTTGCTTATCGGAGCATGTTTATAATGAATGAACTGAACTGAATTAACAATTAATCACACTGAATACTATTTCTACATCTGCTTATTTATTGCACAACTTTGATTTACAACATTTTTCAAGTTTGACATCATTGATATCTTTTACTTTCTTGTGTAATACTGTTTGGATCAAACTCTTATTTTATAGAGCGTTATATAAATAAAGGGGATGATGTGACCTTTTGTACGGTACCAGCATCAATCCATTATTTAGTTTCCGTCATGCAAGAATGCAAGGAAAATCCTAAAAACCGCATGATGCAATTGCCCTGATGAGACATGTTGCAGTGGTTGCGTAATATTCAGATGTAATCTAACATCCAAACTATGCCTGAAATTTTGTAGTAAATTAGCTTGGGGAACGCTGAGGAGGATGTTAACTCAACCATTCAGAGTCTTACCTTTTAAACTGAAATGCTCTATGGCTTGTTTTTTCTAGCGAATCCTTGTTGCTATTACCCTTGTCAAAACCAAGGGATCTGTGTTCGATATGGCCTGGACAGATATGAATGTGACTGCACCAGAACGGGCTACTATGGAGAAAATTGCACTATACGTATGTATCTTTTGTGTTTTTTTGTCTGTATATTTAGACCCAATCCCAATTCTACCCCTTAGCCCTTCCTCTTACCCACATTTTGCACATTTATGTGAAAGGGTAGGGCTGTCCCAATTCCTTTTAGTTTGAAGGCGTAGGGCTAGATAGCCCTTGAAACTGAGATTTTTCAGGACCACACTCAAAACCAAGGGGTATGAAAATTTCACAGAATAAACCACGTACAGCAGCAACATGGCTGCACACGTGAGTCATGAGATGCACAAGTTTAAGTATTTTCTTTTGGCACTATATATATATATATATATATATATATACATACATACATACATACATACATACATAAAGCCAATACGGAAGTAACTGAAACTGCAGTTCATTGCAATTCCGCTAGTCCTGGCTCCATAATAGAGCACATTTCTCTTGACCTCAATGTTAAAATGGTCAAATTTACAGCAGGAAAAAAAGGTATTTACAGCCTGGTACAAAAATTATATAGGTGTATATAGCTAATATTAGCCTTCATGACAACTGTGAGGGGGATGAATTTTTTTTTTTAAATTGATCTGTTTCATTTCTATTAAGTCTGTGTAATTAAGGGCCACTTGAGTGACAGCTAGGTCTCGCTGTCTCGTCACCTCAACTGATTCCGGCTGCATTTACTAACACAGACTATATTTGAAGGATTTGGAAGTAATTCACGTTTTCCTCCTGTAGAAAAACATCATAAAAACAGTGCTTAGGAGCTCAATGTACTACAAGTCTAAACACTTCATTGATATGGCACATGAGGTCAGAACACAAACAAGTCACAGGAAGTATTAAGCATTTCTGCCAAAGAAAAGCCTGTCTAAGCAAAATGCTAGCAGGCATCTGTAGCTCCGCTCACACCACGCCTCTTTGCCCTTTTTTGGTCACCCTCGGTCTGTGCCATGACGGGCAAAGAAAATGGCTGCTGTTGGCCACGCCCACTCGTAGCTTTTCTCTTTTGAAACCTATGGGTGATGTCATAGATACTATGTCCATATTTTTTACAGTCTATTGTTTTACCATCATGCTTAAAAAAAAAAGATTAATAAACACGCAAAATTTTGCTATCTATAATCATAATAACTCCAGTACAGCAGTTCCACAACATACTGTCACATCTGTCAATCGATGACATTCGAATACCCTGTCAGAGAAGTCTAATGGCTGGGAATGACCTTTTTACAGTGTGTATGTGTAAGAACTCATTAAGCTGCATTCCTCCTCCTGACCTGAAGGAGGTGCTCCTGTCTCCTTGCACAACATGATCCAAGTTTCATGCTTCCTCCTGAACAGTGGATGGCACCACTTTCTCACCATCTGCTGTGTGCCACCACTCAAGCTTGATTTGCAACACCTGTGTCTTGCCCTATATAAGTGTGTGTGTTACAAGCTACTGTGTTCAGTCTTGAGCCAGTACCACCCGGTGTTCTCCAGATTGTCTAGAGAAAGCTAAGTCACATTCTACTGTTGTGTTTTTTGACCCTTGTGTCTAATTTGTTTTGCCTGTTTACTAGAAGCTCGGCTTCAGTTATTTCTGTTGTACTTTTGAATTCTATTTTTCTAGTAAAGATCATCTGTTTATTTTTTCTGAAACCAAAGCCTCAAGTTCCCTTATTTTTCTTCTGCTCTTGGGTTCATCTAGTGAGGAGTTAGCTCAACTGGGAAAAGCCCCAGCTTTATGTCCAGGAGACCCGGGTTCAATCCTCACCTAAACCAACACCTTACAGCAAGACTGAACCATGGAAGTGAACCCAGCAGGAGAAGCCTCACCACCTTCCAATGTTGATCGTATTCTGTCTGCTTTGTCTGATCAAGCAACCACCATCCAGAACCATGAGCAGATTCTTGGTGAGATCCTCCAGTTACTAAATCCTCAACGTTTAACTTCTCAAGGAAGCCAACCAGTAGCCATTCCTCCAACAGTTTTTGTTGCTTCATCTGAGCCCAAGTTACCAGCACCAGAGAGATTTGATGGAGACCCAGAGAGGTGTCGAGGGTTTGTCACACAGTGCACGCTGGCCTTTCAATTGCAACCCAGCAGCTTTCCCACAGAGAACAGTAAGGTAGCATATATCATCACTCTACTTACTGGCAAAGCCTTGAACTGGGCCACATCTTTATGGGACCAGAAATCTCCCCTTACCAGCAACAGTACCAGTTTTATTGCGGAGATGAAGAAGGTCTTCCAACATCCAGCCAGTAAAGGAGATGTGAGTTATCGCCTACTTCAACTCTCTCAGGGTGAGAGGAGTGTGGCAGAATTTTCTATCGAGTTCAGAACCCTGGCCTCAGAGAGTGGATGGGACCAGCGAGCACTAAAAGCCACTTTTCACCGTGCCCTGTCCTCTGAATTAAAGGATGAACTGGCCTTTAGAGATCCTGCACCAGATCTTGAGTCCCTTATTGATGTTGCCATCCGTGTTGACCATCGCCTAAGAGAACGACAACTGGAACGAGGTAGAGAGACCAGGTTATTTGACCCTGATGTACATTCTAGCACCATCACTCAGCCCCTTCTGTCCAATGATCTTGATGAACCAATGCAATTGGGGAGAACTAGATTGACCCAGACCGAACGGGATCGGCGAATGAAAGACAGATGCTGCCTCTACTGTGGAAAGCCAGGCCATTTCCGCTCCACTTGCCCTGAACTGAAGGGAAAAGCCAGCTCTCGTCCAGGAAGAGGGGGTCCCGGGCGAGAGTAGATACTTCCCCCTGTGCCATCACTTCCGGAGTATCCGTTCAAGCCACTATCACCCAAGGTAACCAGCTTCACCATCTTAGTGCCTTCATTGACTCTGGAGCTGCTGGTAATTTTATGGATATCAATGTGGCCAGTGAGCTGGGTATTAGAACCATAATCCTCCAGAGACCCCTCACCATTACAGCCCTAGATGGCAGACCTCTTGGTTCAGGACAGGTTAGTCACTGCACTACATCCCTCCAGTTAAAAATAGGTGCACACCGAGAAGACATACAGTTCTTTTTGATCCATTCACCAGAACACCCCTTAGTGCTTGGTTTCCCTTGGCTATTCCACCACAACCCTTTTATAGACTGGTCCAAGTGTGTGGTAAAGAGTTGGGGTACTAACTGCTGTGTTTCTGATTTTTCTTTTTGCCATCCTCTCGAGCCACTGGAGACATTTCTTGGACCTCAGCCCGATCCCTCCAGATCACCCTCAACCCACACTATATCCATACCTACCACAGAAGTGCGGGTAATACCCAAGCTCAAGCCATTAACTTTCGAGTCTCCAGCCCCCTTGCCAGAGCCACCTAAGGTTCCTCCTCCATGTTTGTCTCGAGTTCCCCAAGAATACATGGATCTCAGTGAAGTCTTTAGTAAGTCTCAGGCTACTTCATTACCCCCGCATCGTCCATATGATTGTTCTATTGAACTTGTACCTGGAGCAAGTCCACCTCGAGGTAGATTGTACTCCCTCTCCATTCCTGAAAGAACTGCCATGGAGAAATACTTGAACGAGGCTCTAGACAGTGGATTCATTCGCCCTTCAACCTCACCTGCAGGAGCAGGCTTCTTTTTTGTTTCCAAGAAGGATGGGAGTCTTCGACCCTGTATTGATTATAGAGGTTTGAATCACATCACCATTAAGAATCGTTACCCATTACCCCTAATGAACACTGCTTTTGAGATACTGCAGGGCGCCACTATCTTTACAAAGTTGGACCTCAGAAATGCTTACCATCTGGTCAGGATCAAAGAAGGAGATGAGTGGAAGACCGCTTTTAACACCCCTACAGGCCACTATGAATATCAGGTAATGCCCTTTGGCCTTGTAAATGCCCCAGCCGTCTTCCAGGCATTCATTAATGATGTCCTCAGGGAGATGTTGAACAGATTTGTTTTTGTTTACTTGGATGACATACTTATTTTTTCAAGTAGCTATGAAGAGCATGTACAACATGTCCGGCAGGTTCTCTCCCAGTTGTTGAGACACAGACTGTTCGTTAAGCTGGAGAAGAGCGAATTCCATGTCTCCAAAGTGTCATTTCTTGGGTTCATTGTATCCAAATGTAGCCTTCAGATGGATCCTGGCAAGATTAAGGCAGTACTGGATTGGCCACAACCATGTTCAGTTAAAGAGGTACAACGATTTTTGGGGTTTGCCAATTTTTATCGGAGATTTATTAGAGGCTTCAGCTCCATTGCAGAACCCCTCACTGCCCTCACCAAGAAGACTGCCAAGTCATTTGTGTGGACTGAGATGGCCAACAAGGCCTTCAACAGACTGAAGAGTCTCTTCACATCTGCCCCCATTTTAGCTCTTCCAGATCCAGAGCTTCCTTTTGTAGTGGAGGTTGATGCTTCTGACATAGGCATAGGAGCGGTCCTCTCTCAGAGAAGTAAGACTGATAACAAGCTTCACCCATGTGCTTATCTTTCTCACAGGCTTACACCTGCACAGAGGAACTATGACATTGGGAACCGTGAGCTTTTGGCAGTCAAGGTGGCATTAGAAGAATGGAGACACTGGTTGGAGGGGGCCAAACATCCATTTCTCATCTGGACCGACCACAAGAACCTCACCTACATTAGAGAGGCAAAGAGGTTAAACTCCAGGCAAGCTCGCTGGGCCCTTTTCTTTAATCGTTTTGATTTTACTCTCTCTTATCGCCCAGGCTCAAAGAACTCAAAGCCAGATGCACTGTCAAGACAGTTTGGTTCTCTAGACAGTGAGACCACACCAGAACTAATAATACCTACCTCGAGAGTGGTCGGCGCAATCCAGTGGGGAATTGAAGAGACGGTCAGGAGAGCACAGCCACAGACAGTGCCAGGTAATTGTCCTCCAGGGTGTCTCTTTGTACCTAATCATTTACGCTCTGAAGTGTTGCAGTGGGCTCATGCTTCCCTCCAATCGGGGCACCCTGGGACTACTAGAACCCACAAGCTCATCCAGAGGAAATTTTGGTGGCCAAGACTGCAGAAGGATGTCCGCAACTTTGTTGCTGCTTGCTCTGTTTGTGCACAAAACAAGGAACCAAGAACCCGACCTCAAGGCCTGCTGCACCCACTACCTATACCTAAACATCCATGGACACATATATCATTGGACTTCGTTACAGGCCTACCAGAGTCCAAAGGTAATACAGTCATTCTAGTGGTGGTAGACAGATTTTCTAAGGCATGTCATCTACTCCCTTTGCCCAAACTCCCAACAGCTAGTCAGACAGCAGAGCTTCTCATGCAGAATGTGTTTAGGATCCATGGCTTTCCGCAGGACATGGTCTCCGATCGGGGGCCACAGTTCACGTCCAGGTTCTGGAAGGCATTTGGCCGGCTCATTGGATCCTCCATTAGTCTCTCATCTGGCTTTCACCCCCAATCCAATGGTCAGACAGAGAGGGTAAACCAAGAGATTGAAAGGTCTTTGAGATGCTTGGTTTCAGACAATCAAACCACTTGGAGCTCCCGGTTGGTCTGGGCTGAGTTTGCACATAACACCCTTTACCACTCTTCCCTAGGAATGTCTCCTTTTGAGTGCCAGTATGGTTTCCCACCCCTTATGTTTCCAGGACAGGAACCAGAAGTCAGTGTCCCTGCTGCTACACAACTGGTCCGCCGATGCAGACTATCATGGCAGAGAGCTCGAGTAGCCTTACTTAAAGCTACCGAACAGCAGCGGAGACAGGCAAATAAGCGCCGAAGGCCAGGGCCCACACTTCGCCCAGGTCAGAGAGTGTGGCTTTCAACCAGGGATCTTCCTCTTCGGGTAGAGTCTCGCAAACTAGCCCCACGCTATATTGGTCCATTTAAGATCCTCCGAAAGATAAATCCTGTATCCTACCGGCTACTCCTGCCCAGGTCCATGAGGATTCACCCCACCTTTCATGTGTCCAAATTAAAACCTGTTGTATGTTCCTCTTTCTCCCCACCCAGCAAGCCCATACCAAGACCCCGGATCATTGAGGGTAGACCGGCTTACACAGTACGCAGGCTTCTGGATTCTCGACTGGTCCGTGGGAAGGTGCAGTACCTTGTCGACTGAGAGGGCTATGGCCCAGAGGAGCGATCATGGGTGCCAGCTAAGGATATACTGGACCCAGTGCTTATCACTGACTTCAATCGTGCCCAAAGAAGCTCCAGAGGAACGTCAGGAGCCGTTCTTAGAGGAGAGGCTCCTGTAAGAACTCATTAAGCTGCATTCCTCCTCCTGACCTGAAGGAGGTGCTCCTGTCTCCTTGCACAACATGATCCAAGTTTCATGCTTCCTCCTGAACAGTGGATGGCACCACTTTCTCACCATCTGCTGTGTGCCACCACTCAAGCTTGATTTGCAACACCTGTGTCTTGCCCTATATAAGTGTGTGTGTTACAAGCTACTGTGTTCAGTCTTGAGCCAGTACCACCCGGTGTTCTCCAGATTGTCTAGAGAAAGCTAAGTCACATTCTACTGTTGTGTTTTTTGACCCTTGTGTCTAATTTGTTTTGCCTGTTTACTAGAAGCTCGGCTTCAGTTATTTCTGTTGTACTTTTGAATTCTATTTTTCTAGTAAAGATCATCTGTTTATTTTTTCTGAAACCAAAGCCTCAAGTTCCCTTATTTTTCTTCTGCTCTTGGGTTCATCTAGTGAGGAGTTAGCTCAACTGGGAAAAGCCCCAGCTTTATGTCCAGGAGACCCGGGTTCAATCCTCACCTAAACCAACACCTTACAGTATGCTATAACGTTAATATGGTTTTCTCATGTTTACATTGATGAATATGGCCACGGTGTAAATGCACAGTACAGTTACGAGCTTATTGCTACATTATATTGATATGATAACATGATATCGTTGCCTTCGGTGATTTCCTGAAGATAAATACTAAAAAATAACACAATTGGAGTAACCACAGCAGTCGCCGTCGTCAATCTCTTATGAAGTAAGAGCTTGCAGCAACATATGATGATGTGTGTGGGTGTTTAGTGGTGTCCCATTTCTTAGGGGTAAATTCGAAGCCCTTCACACCCTGTATCAAGGGCCAAGGGGAAGAGGTTATAAAATAGGATTGGGATTGGTCCTTATATGGTACTTTCTTACAGATTAATGGCAAAATACAATCATTCACTAATGCGCTACAGTAATAATAAGGTTTAACACTGAAAAATGAAAGCTAACATTTCCTGCGTTTTAATGTTGTACATTTAAATCCACATTATGTTAAGATATAAATCTCTGGTTAGATGGCTGAATGATTTAAACAGAACAATAAACTATCACATATGGTCTTTAAGTTTTCAGACGTAGTCCAACATCTGGGAAAGCCAATTTTTTTGGGTTGAGAGAAAGGCACAGGACCAGTTTTTATTCTCCCATAACCCCCTGTCTGTATCGGCCAGCCCTACTGTCTGTCTCCTTTTCCGTTTCTACTTCCTGTCTCTCGCTCTCAACTGTTTTTTTTTTTTTTTTTGTTTTTTTTTTTGTTTTTTTTTGTACAAGTGATCTGGCATATTAAAAGGCTGTGGGCAAAGCTTCAGTGAATTTTCTACTTCCCGTATGTGATAGTGTTAGTATAACTGTGTAAAAGTTTCCCAAACTATGAGGCCTGTGTTATAAAAGAGCTTTGTTTTCTGTAATATTGGTCTGACTTTATTTCAATGTACAACTCACGCTATTAACAAACTGTTTACTAAGACTTTTAGCTCAGTAAACTACTAATTAGTTGCTTAATAATAGTTCGTAAGGTAGTAGTTGTTTTTTTATATGCATCAAATAGGATTTGGTTATTAAATAGGGATATAAAATCCTACTTTGTAAGTTCTATAGGCTGGTAATAAGCCAGTAGTAAATGCTGTGAAGTGTTACTTAAACTAAAGTGCTACTGGAAGATTTCTTTAGTGTTAATTTAATTTGTATGCAAGTGTGAGGTGTGTTAGACATGTATAGTTCCAAATTCAGATTCTCACACAGTTGTCTCTGGCATAATTTAAATAATTGTGTTTATTTTTTATGTCTCTCCTCGTCAGCTGAGCTCTGGACGCGGGTCTATCGACTCCTGAAGCCCAGTCCGAATGTTGTCCACTACATCCTCACTCACTTTGACTGGTTATGGGACCTCATCAACAGGTCGTTCCTCAGGGATTGGCTCATGCGGAAAGTGCTCACAGGTTTGTTTTGCTGAATCTGAAAGAATTGCTGTTTATAAAGAGTTTTTTTTCCCATAACTCCTTGAAATGCCAAATGTTCACACAGGTATAGTATCACCCGCATGTTTATCCATCATGATTTTGATGCCTGAATACTCCCAGTCTAAAGCTAGTCTAAATACTTCTAACCACAAAAAGTTTGTCTTTTCTGCATCCTTTATTTAAAATTGACAAATTGAAGCGTTTAAATCTACTTGTGAAGTCTTCGTGCGTCATTGCTTCTGGATGCAAATGCTTTATCAGATAGCAAAAGTAAACAAAAACGGTACTTATATACACTCAAAGTGTGGTGTAATACTGCAGTGAAATCATAATTCTAAGATTTCACAAGGAAATCTCATTAGCTCTGACAGTAATTAATCATTTATTACATAATATTATCCAGGATGCTTATAAATATAATTTATATAATAGTGACTTCATCGCTTTTTGAAATCGTTCTTCACTAGACTCAAACCCCATCGTCATGGTCATCTCCTCTCTGCATCTTAAGTCCACCGAATTACATGGTGAGCTAACTGAACAAACTGGTAGCAGCTGGAAAGCTGTCCATACGGACGAAAGCGGTCAGCTGATAAGTGCGAGAAGGAACAGCGTCATACCGCCCCGTAGCGTTCATTTAAGAAACGAAATGCAGCCATACGTACTTCTGGCTACATAATTCATGGTTTCCAAAAATGTATGTAGGGCTATGTGTTTAGAATGAGCCTATGTTGAATAACACCATATATCATTTGTAAGTCGCTTTGGATAAAAGCGTCTGCTAAATGACTAAATGTAAATGTAAAATGTACATCATTTGATAATCAGAATAAATAGTGATCAGAAATGGCTGATGAGATTCTCAATGAAAATCCAACACAGACTCATTGTGGATAGGTACCCCTGTCTACATTTTTGGAGAACACAATTTATGTAGCCAGAGGTAAATTAATAAATAAACATCTGGCCGAAAATGTGGTGAAATCAGGTGGCCATGAAGGCTTTTTTTTTATAGATTGCTTTTTAAACATTATCGGTTGGGTTTAGGTAAGGGGTTAGTGGTTCAGTCAGTCAGTCAACAGCAAGCTGGCCTGGTCGGCTGAAGTGTATATTGCGCCAAAGACTATAGAATACTATAGAAGACATGTTACTCAAAAACTTTTGAATGGGAAAAAAGTCAAACCAGGCTCATTCCGAAAATGTAGTCCTGTGGACATTTCTGGAGAGAGCGAAATACATCCTGGGAGTTACATATTGTTGCAGTTTTTTGTTTTCGTGAATCCACGAGAGGCGATGTGTCCTCTTTTTCACATCTCAAATGCCTCTTGCAAGTGCCGTTCGCACCCACGCTGTTCTCACATAAACCAACCAGAGGCCACTGTCCACCAACTGGATGACTGAATGATTGACTGGGTGACCAGCCAATCGACTGACCCACCCTCCTCCTTCCCTAAACCCAACCAATTTTACCGATTGACCCGCCCACCCGCTTACTACCCTAAACCCTACCAACAGTTTACAAAAGTCGTCCAGAAAAAAAAATGCCCTCGTCTGATTTTTACCACGTTTTTGGATTTTACCACATTTTCACCCTGTTGTTCACGCTTTCATTTTATTATTTTTTTTGGATTCTTTTTTTTTTACCTGATTTCTGAACCCGGTCTTCCCCGGACTCGAACCCAGTTGTCGTTGTCATCGTGGTCAACTCGTCTCTGCATCTCAAGTCCGCCAACAGACACAACGAAGTAACCAGACAAACTGGTTGCGGCGGGAAAGCCCTCCAAACGGAGATAAGCGGTCAGCCAGTAAGCGCCAAAAAGAGTGGCGTCATACCACCCCGTAGCGTTCACTTAAAAAAATGAACTGCAGCCATATATACCTCCAGCTACATAACTCACAGTCTCCAGTTACGTAAGCGAGACTGTATTTGCAGAATGAGACTGTGGTGGGAAAGTGTAGCTGCCAATATGGGGAATGAAGCCCCGCCTTCTAGTACAGAAGAAAATTAGCGATCACTATATTGTGAATAAAGCGATGGCTATAGAATGACAATTCTCCAGGAGAGGGGATATGAGTTTCAAACATGAGTTTCTGCAGATTTTGTGTGATACGAACATATACATATGAAACTAAATAGATAGCTGTTGTTTAATTTTATTGGCTATTCGTAATATGAAATGTAATCTTAAGCTTAGCAAGTAGTTTTGGAGAATTTGATGTTTCCCCATTCAAACAGAATGCCTGAGCAAACTGCCCGAAAGACATTTCAAAGATGGCCCCCGAGTGAAATTACTTTCCCTAAAGGGACTTTGATTGTGCCCTCTGGTAAATTTTTGCAAGAAGAGGACGACCAAGAGAAATTTGAGATCCTCAAAAAGCATACACAGTGGCCTTTTATGGACTTGCAAAAACTGCAAGCAGACGTAACTTCAGTTATGTATTTCGATGTCCTCAGAAATGTAGACCCAGGTACGTATCCGCAATGAGTCTGGATTGAAAAATCATTCATTCATTCATTCATTCATTCATTTTCTTGTTGGCTTAGTCCCTTTATTAATCCGGGGTCGCCACAGCGGAATGAACGGCCAACTTATCCAGCAAGTTTTTTACGCAGCTGATGCCCTTCCAGCCGCAACCCATCTCTGGGAAACATTTACACACACATTCACACGCACACTCATACACTACGGACAATTTAACCTACCCAATTCACCTGTACCACATGTCTTTGGACTGTGGGGGAAACCGGAGCACCCGGAGGAAACCCACACAAAGGCAGGGAGAACATGCAAACTCCACACAAAAAACGCCAACTGAGCCGAGGTTCGAACCAGCGACCCAGCGACCTTCTTGCTGTGAGGCAACAGCACTACCTACTGCGCCACTGCCTCGTCCGAATTGGAAAATCAGTGCAGAAAAAAACTAATATGAAAGAATGCAGAATACAAAAATTGTAATGTAAAAACCAAACTACATCGTCTTCAATGATTTGGTCATACATACTACACTAATAGCTCATTAAATCTAAAATTCAGCCAACTATATCAATAACTGATTGGCGTCCAATGTAATTTGAATTTAATGAACCAACTTGGGTTCGAAATGTTTTTCCTCCTGGATGTTGTGTGACAAGAGCAGACTTGCAGACAGAATAAAATGGGTACGTGTATATATCATGGCATCTGAGCAGCCTTAAAAGGCGCTTTCCAACAGAAACTGCTTAAACTTGGTCTTCAAGTCCAGTTTCAGAGAAAGAGGAGAATACTTTCACTCAAGTGTAAACATAAATGTTTTATCAGCGCACAGACATTGAAGTCGTTGGCTGAGTATCTACTTCAAGACCACACATGCGGCATAGACAGAAATTCTGACTTTTGGAGATAAGATATTGTCTGTTTTGTTTGCTTTGGCAATGCTATTTATAATCTAAATGGCTTGGATGTAGTCGAGAGGTATTGTAATGGTCATGGTATCACTGAGAGTTTTTTTTTCTGATGCATCAGTGTTTGTCAGAGAAAATAAGCATGTGTAAATGTCTTTGTTCTGTTTTTTTATGTTCTTGTAAAGGGAGTCTCCTTTTACACAGCATCCTTTCCTTTATTTTCTCAGCCACTGCTGTTTTGAGTGCCTCTTTTTTTTATGTACAGCCCCTTTTTTATCATTTCCTCCCAGTTGGCGCTTGTAATGTTTTCCTGTACAGTTTTATCCAGTTTTAATGTAATAGCAAGATACACCGGGGCCATAGGAGGCTATCATTTCAATCTGAACTCATTTCAGTGAGCCCAGTCGCCGGTTGCCATGGCAGCGCTCCTGTACTCTGTAAGAGGCCCTCAAATTCCTCATGTCCTGCACACTGCTGCGGGCCAAAACATTTCCCTATGCGAGCCAAGTTACTGAATATCCGGAGGTATTGTTCCAGGAAAGTGTAATGGAGAGTATGTTAGCTCAGAACAAGTCTACCTGTATAATCGTGTGGCTCTGTTTTGTTTTTATGATTACTGTCGATGCAGCTCTTTAGAAATACATAGTACATTTTTTGTGCGATCTGATCTCCGTATACTGTTCTAATAACTGAATGACTCCAGAAATTGGTTTATTTCAAATCAAAGTGGGTATCAGACATGTTAAAATGTAAGTAATATGTGGATAAGTGCTTACTGGAGATAACAAACCGTTTCAAACAATTCAGTTCGATTTGGTGAGCCGGTTCAAGCAGTTCACTTAGAAGATCCAGTTAAAAAGAACGATTTGCTTGCAGTCGACCATCACTACTTTATTGTTGATACCTTAAAACACTGGATTTTGCGAGACCTGAGCAGATTTCTGATTTTGACTTTTGTTAATTGCGAGGCAGTGGCGCAGTAGGGAGTGCTGTCGCCTCACAGCAAGAAGGTCGCTGGGTTGCTGGTTCGAACCTCGGCTCAGTTGGCGTTTCTGTATGGAGTTTACATGTTCTCCCTGCCTTCGCGTGGGTTTCCTCCGGGTGCTCCGGTTTCCCCCACAGTCCAAAGACATGTGGTACAGGTGAATTGCGTAGGCTAAATTGTCTGTAGTGTATGAGTGTGTGTGTGAATGTGTGTGTGGATGTTTCCCAGAGATGGGTTGCAGCTGTAAGGGCATCCGCTGCTTAAAAACTTGCTGGATAAGTTGGCTGTTCACTCCGCTGTGGCGACCCCTTATTAATAAAGGGACTAAGCCGAGAAGAAAATGAATGAATGAATGAATTCTTTTGTTAGGCGTTTGGAGACTGTAGAACGGAGGGTGTCATTTTTCTTTGATAAGTGTTTTCTCCTGTTTATAGCTAGTTAGGGAATGAGGTAAGCCTATGGTGTTTATTTGGTTTTCTTTTATTGAGGTAAGTTAGTTTGCTCCTGCCAACATTTAGATTTATTCTGTTTGGCCTGGTCCGTGTTTTAATTTATTTTGAAGAAGCAGAGTGATTAAAGAAGTCAACTTCTTAAATCTTGTTTGGTGAATGCTGGCTGGGACAGGGATGAAAACTTCCATAAACACTTTTCTCCAAACTCATAGAAATAGGTCAAATTAGGGGCTCATCTAAAGGCCCTTGGAAACACTTCTTCTGTGGGTGTGGTGAGTGTTTTCTTATCTATATTTTGCTTGGCTCATTTGAACTTTATGTAAGAGAGGAGACTTCGTCCTAGTGAAAATAGAGTTTGATTTGGTCATGTTTACTTTATCGCCAACATTAGAAGTATTTGACTGGTGTAGAAACAAGGATCTGACTTTAATTGCAGAATTCTTTAACATTTCAGTGCCCGAAGAAGACAAGAAAATTTAGACAAAATACGAGTTGTACAAAAAAACTTGTACAGGCAAGTTTATTACCTGAATGCTCTGTTTAGGCTGAGGATGATATTCAGATTGAAGCTGATGCCTTATTTGAGACCAATTTGGCAGATAGTCCAATGGTCCTCAATTTCAGTCCTCAGGCTCCTTCGCCCTGCACTTTATGTATGTCTTCTGAACCTAGCACACCTAATTCAGATCATCAACTCTTTATAAAAGCGATCCATGAACTGATCCTTATGTGTCAAATAAGAGAGACATATAAAGTGTGGTGGGCAGGGGGGCCAGAGGATCGTCTTCCATGTAGATCCCGCTGTAGCGATCAAGTTGAAAGCACTGGATCTTGCTCTAAAGCAAGCCCCTTTAGGGTTTAGCTCCAACTTGCCTCAACACACCTGCCTGAGTGTTTCAAGTATACCTAGTAAGACCTTGATTAGCTTGATCAGGTGCATTTGATTAGGGTTGGGGCTAAAATCTGCAGGATACCAGTCCTCCAGGAACAAGTTTGGTGACCCCTACTCTAAAGCATAGGTATTAAGCTCAATTCCTGGAAGGCCGCAGCTCTGCACAGTTTTGCTCCAATCCTGATCAAGCACAGCTGATCCAAATAATGAAGGTGGTCATGACTCTTTTGAACACCTTGATTATTTGGATCAGCTGTGTTTGATAGGGTTGAAGCAAAACTGCAGAGCTGCGGCCCTCTTGGAATTGAGTTTGAGACCTTTGCTGTAAAGCAGTGGTTCTCAAACTTTTTTCATCAAGTACCACCTCAGAAAAAATAGTTTCTCCAAGTACCACCAAAATGAGCAGTATTGAATACAGTAGCGTAGTAGGCCCAAAGCAGCTACAACTCTGCACAGTTAAAAAAACGTGGCAGATTACCTCAGAAATATAGGCTATATGTCATATATGGCATATTATATCCATCATTTTTGATAAATTTTGAAATGTGTGTAGCATGTACATGACATATTTCATTCCTCCGCGTACCACTAAAGGAAGCCTGCGTACCACTTGTGGTACACGTACCACAGTTTGAGAACCACTGCTCTAAAGCATCAAGAGTGCAATACTCAACTTCTTTATTTGAAAGCTTTTGAAATGGAGGTAGATGGAGATATTAAACTGCACAAGCTAGATCTTGAGGTTAGAACCTTGCAAAATAAACCAGTTGTACATCCTCGATATACATCTCCTTCCAGTAATCTGGCCTGAATTTGAGATTGGTAAATATGGTAAGTTGGTACCTCATTTGAAGCTGAGGTTTAATGTTATTTTGTTTCCTTTGATTGTGTTGCTGCAAAATTGAGTTGGCCAAAAGACACGTGGTAACTTTAGTTACAATGTAACTTTTTGTTGGCAAAGCTCAAGAGGTGTGCTCTGTTTTGTCAATAGAGGAATCATTGGATTACGACACTGTAAAGGCTGTAGTTTTGAGAACATATGAACTGGTGCCAGAGGCATTTCATCAAGAGATTTAGATCTTGTTAAAAATCACCCAAGCAAACATTTGTATAATTTGCAAAAGAGAAAGGGAGAGGTGGTGTTTTGCCACCAAAACCACAACTTGCTTCAAGATCTTGTGTTGTTGGTGGACTTCAAGAGTTGTCTGCCAGAAAGTCTTGTACATTTCAAGAATTCACACTAGCTTATGATTTTTGCATAGCTTGTTTGGCCTGCTGTCCCAAGAGAGAGCTCTGAGCTCAAGGGATCCTCAGGCCCAGGCGAGGGGAGATTTAGCTCAGGTCAATCTTAAAACTCTCTCTCTTCTGAGGCTAAGGTGAACCTCCTGAGAGTAAGACAAAAAAAAAGATTTAGGCTTATTTTGCCTATAATAAACAGCATATTTCGACAGTGGTAGGAAACCGGGGAAAACCCACGCAGACACGAAGAGAGCATACAAACTCTGCACAGAAATCCCAGATGGCCCAGCGAGGACCCAACGCCTATGGTATTCTTACTATGAGGCAACAGTGCTAGTCACTGGACCACAGTGCCGCCCATTCTAGATTAAGGTGGAAGAAGGGGAGGTGTAGGGTTTCTTCAACATGGTAAGATCTGAAAATGTGTAAAAATCAGGCGGCTTTGATGGCTTTTCTTTTTCTGGATTGCTTTTGAAAACATTGTCAGTTAGGTTTAGTGAAGGGGGTGGGCACTGGTTAATTGGTGCTGTTGAAAACACTATTGGTTGGGTTTAGGGAAGGGGGTGGGTGGGAGCATCGGTCAGTCAGTCAACAGCGGCTTCTGGTGGAATTATGCGAGAAGAGCAGGTGCGGATGCAAAAACTGCAAAAAAACGTACCTCCTGGTATATATTTTGCGCTTTCCAGAAATTTATATAGGGGTACAAATCGATAATGAGACTGGGTTGATATGAAAAAATCTTTGTGTTTTCTTGGGAATTATTTTGTCTGATGGTGTTTTGATTTATCTTCCCCTTTCACAGTAAGAGCCAACTTAATCCCAAGTCCTCCAACATACAATTCCAGATATGATTACTTGAACTGGGAGGCTTATTCCAACATCACCTACTACACCAGAATCCTACCGCCGGTCCCTAACGACTGTCCTACACCCATGGGAACCAAAGGTAGGAGATAGAGTTCACCTCATTTTACTCCAGATTAGGGTTGTAACAATATACCGGTATGACGGTTTACCACGATTTGAACGTGCACGATTATCATACCATGAACAATTGCATATCAACGGTTTTAACCCTTAAAGACCGAGACAGCCGCCCGCGGCTAAAAATAAGTATTGCTCTTAAATGTTTAATAACTTTTGATCCGCTGATCCGATTCATACAATTCAAAGATTGGCATAAAGAAGAGAGTCTCAGCTTTCCAGTGCTGTATCACATAACATTCGCGGACTTTCAGAGGCTCCGGAATCAGTGCGGTTACGTCATCAACATTTGACAACGCTGATTTGACAAAGAAACGCTCGTCACTGTGTCTCCGGACAAATCAGACATGATACATTGATGCATTGTCCCTCCTCCATGCCCAGATTGGTTCAAACTCGCTATATCACAACCAATAAGCATAGGTTTCGCTTTTGTTTGTGGACCAAGCTTTTTGAACAACACGGAATGAGAGAAAGGCATACATTTATGCGCGGCTAAATAAAACGCAAAAAAAAAAAAGTTTTGCATGAAATAATTCTCATACTAAGTACTTTTGCATGCACAGCAGCACAGAAACATGACAAAACAGTGACACAGCAAAGACGAACTGCTGCTCTTGCTGTTTTCAAAAGACACAAATGAAGGTGCAGCTGTTTGTCTGCATTGCAGACAACCATATCCAAATCCATATCGATAGACAACCATATCCATGCTGGCACATAAAACCTAAGGATGTTCCATATTGAATCTAATTTCGTTATGTAACTATTTATAGTATAGTAAATATTTATATCTATTTTTTACTGAGGATTTGCACCATGTTTATTTGGACTTTATTTGGACTTTGACACATTATTTATTATTTTCTTATTTTTATTTGTTCATTGTAAGTGGTGTTGTTTATAGTAACTAAAAAATGTATTATTTGGAAAAAGTCAAATTTGCTTCACTGTTCTATTATTTTGTAACATTTGTAACATACCGTATACCGCGAAACCGTCAAACCGTGGTATTGTTTTAGACGATTATCATACCGTGAAAAATTCATACCGTTACAACCCTACTCCAGATCAATGTAGCTTCTTCCTTCTGAAGGACACATTATCTGAAACTGCACTTTTTGTTTTGCTGTCTCATATGAAGCATTATTAAAATTCTTCCAGAAAACCTCGTGAGGCTGTTCTAAAATCATTCCATGTGTCTCTGCAGGAAAAATTAAGCTTCCAGACCCTAAACTTCTGGTTGAGAAATTCATGTTAAGGCGGAACTTCAGACTGGACCCTCAGGGAACGAATTTGATGTTTGCATTTTTCGCTCAGCACTTCACACACCAGTTTTTCAAGACTCACAACCGTGTGGGGCTCGGGTTCACAAAAGGTCTGGGTCACGGAGTGAGTAGCACATTTTAAGGTTTTTTTAATAACATACACCGTTTACCTCTATTCGTAAGTAATTGATTTGCACGTAAACAAGTAAAACAGAATTTTTGATACTTATTGGCATGTTAATCCGCCCATATGCACTGAAAACCAAACATTAATTTCTAAACAGCATTAGCTTTGCATAATAAAGTTCTGTACACTGTCATCTTGAGTGCATTTGAACATAATTTTTGATTCGATATTGAAATGTAGGTGGATGCTGGACACATTTATGGAGATTCTCTTGATCGCCAGCTGGAACTGCGGTTGCACAAAGACGGGAAGCTGAAGTACCAGGTACTGCTGAGCAGCTCGGAGTCATAAGTTTAGACATAAGTCATGCTAGGCCGAGCTTAGCTCCAGTTAAAAGTCAAACACCATTCTGTTCATGATCATCTCATTCATGAAAAATAATAAAAATAAAAATAAAATATTTAAAAATAATAATAATAAAACAATAGAGGGACCATCTGGAAATTTTGCTTCTCTAGATTTAAAATGTATAGTTATGTGTTTGAGTACAACACAGCTTTTGCTTTATTCTGTAAACTACAGATGACATTTCTTCCAAAGCATTTTACATTGAGAAATGACAGAATTGTGCTGTTTTCAGACATATTTTTGCATATTATTAGATAAAACAATACCAACGTTTTAAGCTCAAAAGTTAAGAAATCAATATTTGGTGCAATAAACCTGATTTTTAATTAGAAAATTGCTGTAAATGCTATTATTTTTATTTGAAAATGATACCAGATCTTTACAGAATAAAAGAAACATTTTAAAACACACTTAATAAATACAGTAAATCTGTTAGGAAAGTTATTAAATTGATCTAATTGTGATTTATTTAGATATTTTTCCTGAAATAAAATGGTTCTTTAGAGCATTTTGTCCATTAAATGACACATATGAGACATAAAGCTGTCATTTTCAGACAAGCTTATATGCAAATGTAGACAAGGCAATACCAATATTTTAAGAAATAAGTTAAGAAATCATAATATCTAAATTGAAGAACTGTTAAAGATCCAGTCCCTGATTAATAAAGGGTCTAAGCCTAAAATAAAATGAATGAATGACTGTTAAAAGATCCAACTGATCTAATTTAACAGATGAAAACAAATAATCAAAACAGATGTTAACATTTTTCTTAAAAACACACAGTGGTGGAAAGAGTACTGAAAAATCATACTTAAGTAAATGTACCATTACGTGCCCAAATATGTAGTGCAAGAGTAAGTTTCTGTTGTAAATATTACAACAGAGTAAAAAGTAGCCCTTTTAAAAGTACTTAGGAGTAGCGAGCAGTGTCGTGCAAATTACTTTAAAAAAGTAATAGTTACAATAGTTATAATTAAAAATGACTAATTACTACTGGAAAATACTTATAAATACTACTATTTAATACTATAAAAAATACAAAATAATCTGCAGCTCCTTCAGTAATTTAATATTCACTGAAAAACATTACATAGGTTGATCACAGCAGCTTGACTTATTCAAAAGACATAAAGAGTTCACCCAAAACGTAAAATTCTCTTATTAATCACTTGTTCCAAACCTGTTTGCCCCTTTTAACATGAACAAAGAAAACTGCATACCTGTAACCATTGACATCCATAGAATGAAAAAGCACTGCAGTGTTTGGGTGTTCTGAGTTTGTCTGAGGTAATTAGTCTACCAAAATTTTTGTATACTCCAAAGTATGAAGCTGATCGGTGCCCTAGGAAATGCAAGTGTGCGCATAATGCCTTCTCTCTCGATCTTGCACAAAAAAATAGGCTAAGTTGGGTTGCCATGTTTTGTGGTGCTGGTGTCGTAGAATGCTTTCTATTCAAGTGAACAAGTTGCTGGTCAAGGTAAAAGCAGTCAAAAGTTATTTACAAGGTTTCTGCAGGGTCTTAAAAAGTCTTAAATCTTAAAATCCAGGACACCGATTGTGCATAATTTAGTTTTTGAAAGTTTTAAAACTTGTATGAAAAAAGTGTATGGCTACAAGTAGAGCTAGCTTGTTTTTACAATATTTAAAATATTTTTTTTTAATTATTATTGCATTATTAAATGTATTAAATTATAATAAATGTTTTTTTGATAGGGCAAATCAAAACATCTTTTTCATCGGGGCCATTTGAAAAATTCCTTAGCCTTTAGCCCTTTATGAGTCTAAAATTTTATTCATAATGATTTTAATAATGTCCTAAAAAGTCTTGATGAAACCTGCAGAAACACTGTATTTATAGACTGGACATAGACTGCATTTCACAGTAATACTTTTGTATTTACACTCAATGAAATCAAAGTAATGTCTGAATTTTCACTTGAAGAAGCAGCCACTCTCGACAGCAACCCATTCAGCTCACGTTCTTTAACATTTTAAAAGTACATGCTTATTAACTGACGTTGCAGCGAAAAACGTGATTTAAAAGAAGTGTTTTTTCTTCTAAATACTATAATTGTATCTTAAGTAACACAATAACACTGGCTTTAGTAACTGTAATCAAATTACACAAATTTTAAATGTAATTAGAATACAGTAAAGCGTCACTTTTGGTAGCGAGTAATACATTGCGAAAGGTTACATGCAATTTGCGCGTGTATTTGAAAATGTAGCATTATGTAGAGAATTTAGTTATTGTTCAAGGCTATTTGGCGTTTTTAGTCATCATAAAGTAAACATCCTTCATCTTCTCATCAATGATGTGCAATCTAAACAGTCTCTGGGTCATTGCGTTTAAAGATTTTGGACATCTTCTTGGTCACTTTCCAAATATGTCTTGAAATTGATCATTATTATGCAATTTTTTAATTTTTTTTTTTTTTGGAAAGGGAATTTGATTAGACTGATTTTTCTACTTTAGCCAATCCCCATAGACAAGAAAAAATGAAAGAGGGACTCTCATATCCAAATTTCTAACATCTTCTAATAGAGCTTCACCTCTGCAGTTGCTTCACTATAAAGCAACCATTTACATTTAGCCATATTTACATATTTTACAAAGGTTTTAAAGGTTTAAACTACATGTGTTTTATGAATGAGAGCCTGTGTCTTCAGTTGCTTCATTTCACAGCTGTCTGCAAGTATTCCCTTCTGCAGATAACCTCATAGTGTGGCCGCAGGATTGTGGGTGTGATTATAGTTTCAACATGTGGTTTTGCTTAGAACTGAGTGATGTCATTAAAGATACTCCTCACTGTTTAGTCTATTAGCAGGAAAAACACTAGTGACTAGTTCACTAACCAAAGTCTTTGAGAAGAGTATTCTGTCATTTACTCATCCTCCATGCAGCTTTATTTTGGGATGGTCGTACAAGCAAGGTCAATACAGGAACAGGCAGGAGCAAAACAACGGCAAAACAACATCCCGAAGCGCAAGTGTTTCGAAACACTGCACCAAAACATGATCCAAAACACCCAGGTGACGTGAATAAGGTGATTCGAAATTGAAACACTCCGGTCATGTGACTAAAATTATTCTAAACACCAGGTCATGTGACCAAAATTATTTGAAACACCAGGTCATGTGACTAAAATTATTCTAAACACCAGGTCATGTGACTAAAATTATTCGAAACATCAGGTCATGTGACAAAAGTGATTCGAAACACCAGGTCATGTGACTAAAGTATTTTAAAACACACAGGTCATGTGACTAAGGTGATTCAAAACACCCAGGTCACATGACTAAAGTGTTTCGAAACATCAGGTCAAGTGACCAAAGTGTTTCGAAACACCCAGGTCACGTGACTAAAGTGATTGGAAACACCAGGTCATGTGACTAAGATGATTCAAAACACTCAGGTCACGTGACTAGAGTGTTGCAAAACATCAGGTCACGTGACTAAAGTGTTGAACAACCAGGTCACATGACTAAAGTGTTTCAAAACACCCAGGTAATGTGACTAAGGTAATTCAAAACACCCAGGTCATGTGACTGAAGTGTTTCGAAACATCAGATCATGTGACTAAAGTGTTTTAAAACACCCAGGTAATGTGACTAAGGGGATTCGAAACACCCAGGTCACATGACTAAAGTGTTTCAAAACATCAGGTCACGTGACTAAAGTGTTTCAAAACACCCAGGTAATGTGACTAAGGTGATTTAAAACACCCAGGTCATGCGACTAAGGTGATTCGAAATACCCAGTTCATGTGAGTAAGGTGATTCGAAACACCCAGGTTACTTGACTAAAGTAATTCAAAACACCAGGTCACGTGACTAAAGTAATTTCGAAACACCCAGGTCATGTGACTAAGATAATTCGAAACACTTAGGTCACTTGAGTAAAGTGATTCGAAACACCCAGGTCATGTTACCAAGATGATTCGAAACACTCAGGTCATGTAACTAAAGTGTTTAGAAACACCCAGGTCATGTTACTAAGGTTATTCGAAACACCAGGCCATGTGACTAAAGTGATTTAAAAATCCCAGGTCATGTGATCAAAGTGATTCGAAACACCCAGGTCATAAGACTAAAGTGACTTAAAGCATCGGCCATTTCAGAAGTGATTTGAGATCTGGCAAATCTACGTTTGACTGATAGGATCGAAAATAAAACTGTGTCTCATGTAGCCTCGTGGACTGTGCATGAGCTCAGAATAACTCTGCTGCAAATGGCCCAAGTTTAAATCCTGACTCTGAAATTATGGCTTAAAGAATTTTAACAATGTTTATTTTTTTATGACTAAAAGAAGACATATTTATTTACAAAGTGTTCATTCGGATGTCAGACCAATGTTAAAAAAAAAACACGTTACAAGAACAGAGCTTTTAAAAATTAATTTCAGGAACTGGTGCAAAAACCTCTGGGAGTTGTATTTCATATAGAGGCTGGTAGATGTGTAGTTCTCTAATGGTGGGCAAAGCGAGGCTTCATGAAACACTAAAACAAATGTGTTGAAACTCGAAGCAAATGTGTTGAAGCTTCAAAACATCTCGAAACTTGTCTCTAAAGTGACACCTCGTGGTATTGCTGTGGAACAGCTTCAGCGTACAAAAAGTTAAGCAAATTGAGGTATTAAACCCCAAGTTGTGGTTGATTTAGTGAAGTGGTGAGAGTTCCTGACTAGCATGCAGAGAGAATGGGTTTGATTTCAGGATGAGTGTTTGTACATGTTGGGATTGAAACTTAAGACTTTTGCAGCACAGTTACTCTGTGCACATGCATGGTCCATGATATCCACTGAATTTCCAACCCTGCCTGTCAAACGCAGATTTGCAAGGTCTCGAAATGCTTTTGAAATGACCGTTGCTTTGAATCACTTTAGTCACGTGACCTGTTGTTTTAAATGCATTTAGTAACGTTACTTGATGTTTTGAAATACTTTAGTCACGTGACCTGGGTGTTTTGAGTCACCTTAGTCTTGTGACCCGGGTGTTTCAGATCATGGTTTGGTGCAGTGTCTCAAAACACTTGCGCTTCAGGATCTCGACACTGTATGGAAATGTCAGTTTCATGTCAGCCATTCCTATAGTTCTCCAGCGACTTGCAAATACTAGATCGCTGGTAATCGTGACACTCATTGTTTAAAAGCTTTTATTCCACTCAAACTAAAAGAGGTAAGACTTTTCCCAGAAAAACAAATGTTACTGGAAATACTGATGAATTCTCGATGAATTGCAAGCTCAACTATATTTATTTAATGACCCCTCATAGTGAAAATAAGTATTGAAACATTCTCTCAGTTTTGTGTTGTTCTCTGTGGTTTTCTGTAGGTGCTCAACGGTGATATTTACCCCCCGACGGTGCGGCATGCACAGGTCAAAATGAGTTACCCTCCATCAGTCCCTCCAGAGCAGCAGTTGGCAATCGGGCAGGAGGTGTTCGGGCTGCTGCCAGGGCTCGGCATGTACGCTACCTTGTGGCTTCGTGAGCACAACCGTGTGTGTGAAATCCTGAAACAAGAACATCCAACCTGGGGTGATGAGCAGCTCTTCCAGACCGCCAGGCTCATCATTATAGGTGCAGATTGTCTCAGATTAGAAAGTCTTTCCACTTTACTTTAAACACTGAATATCTTGTACCTGCAGGATTTTAAAAAACTTTATCCCCATTTTAACTGTGAACTGTTGACTTGACTCAAGGTGAGACCATTCGTATCGTAATCGAAGAGTATGTGCAGCATCTGAGCGGCTACCGGCTGAAGCTGCACTTTGACCCCACGCTGCTCTTCAACTCACAGTTCCAGTACCAGAACCGCATTGCAGTGGAGTTCAATCAACTTTACCACTGGCACCCGCTCATGCCTGACAGCTTCTACATCGACGGAGACCACATTCAGTACTCAAAGTTCATATTCAACACATCGATCCTCACACATTATGGCTTGGAGAAGCTGGTGGAGGCCTTCTCAATACAACCCGCAGGACAGGTAACAACACTATGAAGCAATAATATCCAGCTGTAGACTCACAGACCCACACACGTTTCAGGACAAACAATCCAGGCTTCCAAGTAAGAGGGTCTTTCAGTGCGAGTATTTTGATTACGGCTAGAAGAGTTACAGCCGTGGCTTCTGAGAATGTAGTGTCAGGGGTAGGTTAAGGGTTGTCGTAGGTTTAGACTTCAACAAAACACAGATTAATGTAAGGGGTAGGTTAAGGGTTGTCGTAGATGTAGACGTCAATAAAACATAGGTTACTGTAAGGGGTAGGTTAAGGGTTGTCGTAGATGTAGACGTCAATAAAACATAGGTTACTGTAAGGGGTAGGTTAAGGGTTATCGTAGGTCTAGATGTCAATCAAACCCAGATTACTGTAAGGGGTAGGTTAAGGGTTGTCGTAGGTGTATGCATCAATAAAACATAGGTTACTGTAAGGGGTAGGTTAAGGGTTGTCGTAGGTCTAGACGTCAAACAAACAAAGATTACTGTAAGGGGTAGGTTAAGGGTTGTCGTAGATGTAGACGTCAATAAAACATAGGTTACTGTAAGGGGTAGGTTAAGGGTTGTCGTAGGTCTAGACGTCAATCAAACAAAGATTACTGTAAGGGGTAGGTTAAGGGTTGTCGTAGGTCTAGACGTCAATCAAACAAAGATTACTGTAAGGGGTAGGTTAAGGGTTGTCGTAGGTGTACATATCAATTAAACACAGGTTACTGTAAGGGGTAGGATTAAGGTTTTGGTAGGTGTAGACATGAATAAGCTACTACAGGTTAATGTACAATCTCAGAAAAAAGGTATGCAAGCTGTCACCGGTGTGATACCTTTTCAAAAGGTACAAATTTGTACCTTAAAGGTCCAGATTAATACCTTAAGGGTACATATTGGTACCTAAATAGTACAAAAGTGTTCCTCTTTAAACTGTTAGATACTAATATATATGTTTGAGGTACCAATATGGATCCTTTTGAAAAGGTACCACCCAAGTGACAGCTCACATACAGCAGATGGTTAATGGCGATTTTACATGCTGAATTGGGCCAACAAGCACTTACATTAACCTGACCTGAGCCAACATGTCACAACAACACACTAAACCAACTAGCCTGACCAATAAAGCCCAATGGTCTACCATCGGCTTAGTGTGTCCCAGCTCTAAGGGGAAGCTTTAGGGTTGGGGTAGGTGTAGACGTTAATAAAACATAATAGGTTGAACAAACAAACTATTCAAAATTAACAGCAATAAAAACGGTATTTGTAGTATACTGTGTATTTTTAATATTGTCTAAATTTATTAAATATACACAAATGTATTAATAAATTTAATGAATAGAAATCATGTCGACATTCTTAGCATCCTGTCCAGTAGGTGGCGATAATGCTAGCTAGTCGCCGTTAAAGGTCCCATGAAATTAAAATAAAGTTTTTTAGATGTTATTATAAGTATTGTTCGTTTTTAGGATATCTATAAGCTGGTGCGCTTTAAAACAGTGACTAAATTCATGTTTAGAAGATATAAAATTTATATTCTTCATTATATACAATCAAATGCTGTCTAGTATCTGACATGCCCCGTCCCTTTCAAGACGCTTCTCAATTGCTGTTCATTTGATGCTTTTGAGCTCAACCATTGTCACTTATAGAACTTTGATAAAACAAAACGCTATTGGCTGTTTTTTAAAGGGAGGAGCTACACTATGCCCCACCCTCTCTTCGGGTTTTGGTTGAGATTACGCCAAACATCGTATAAAAATGCATGTTTCAAAGCACTTAATGGGACCTTTAAACAAGAAAAAGAAGACTGATCCATCATTAAATATATGAACCCTTATTGAGTAGTTACTGATCATCAGGGCGTCAGCCATTTTAATTGTTGTATTTTTAAAAATGTAGTAAAATTATTAGTTCTGCTGATGTTTTTAAATTCCAGTTTTGATAATGTATAGTAGGGACATGCTCATTCTCTCTTGATTGGGATGCACTCTATATGTTTTGCTCGAGCCTGGATAGTATGTCCCGAAATGTGTGTGGGACTGCAGTTACATATCTCATGAGGGCTTTTGGGGAGAGTTTAATGACTTTAGCGTCTGCTCCAAAAGACAAGCACTGTTTCATGATGAGGTGCAATGACCCTTGAGCTGTTAGCAGGATTTTAGCTCTGGGTCTGTTTTTGTCACTCCATTTCCTATGAGTTTACCACACTTGTCTGTCTGAGTTCTTAAGCTTTTTCACCCCCCAAAAAAACATTATTTTACATTTACTCTTTTACATTTACATTTATTAATTTCGCCTATGCTATTGTCAAGAAAAAATAAGTTAAAATCACTTCAAAGAAACAGAGAGCAACAGTAAATGGACTTAACAATGTATCACAATATTGTCTTCCATTTTATTGTGTTTATTTCTATCCAACAGAACTCAAATATTTTAGCAATATCACACGAGTAGTAGTGTGATATGGCTGGATACTGACACTGGTGGAAGGTGTGCGTTGGCTCCAGGCCACAGACCGAGTCCCTTAGTAGCCCACCAGTGCCAATATACAGCCATATCGCACTGCAACGAATGTGATATTGCATTTATACAACAGTTTGACGGCATATTCATGTAAATAATAATGAAAATCAAACACATTGAGTCTCAAAAACCCCTTTGTACAAGGAACTACTTTCTTCCACCATTCATTTACATATGCAGCTGACCGTCAGGAGAGCAGAAACCAATGCTACTTCACCAACGTCACTTTAGAGCTAGTATTTGAATGATTCTCTAGTGATAAAGTGATGAATAAACAGGTGATGTTGCTGACTATGTTTGAGATTATGAGGCTGAACAGCATGAAATGCCATCAGTCTACAGAGATTTCTCTGTTGCAATCATGATATCACTATAATTAACCCCAAAAAAGACAAAGCAAAGCAAAACTAACAGATTACTACAGTATAACAGGGTATATACAGAAATCAGAGAGTGTAATTTAAAACCTTTTAAGACCTTTTTAAGACTCTTTCCATTCATTTTAATACCTCATCCTCACTTTAGGTATTAACCTGTAACATTGGCGACATTTTAACTTACAGTGTACTGCATGTCAACTGCATGCTGAGTGTAACAAACTAATACTAAATTTAATATTATTCATGTAGTAAATAAAAATGGTTATCCAGCAGGTGGCGCCAATAGAATGGCAGAAAAAACACTGTGTGTCCGTGCTTACTGCAGTAAACAATGAGAATAAATTCAGGCAAACTTTAGCATACAATCTTACATTGTATAATCAAAACTAAATTAAATACAAATTTAATACCTTGTAAAATAGAATTTAAAACTTTTTAATAGCCTTAAATTTCTCTAAATTGATTTATCAACTCTTAATACTTTTTAAGACACCGCAGACACCCTGTACAGCACTACAAAATACAAAAAAGAGAGATCGACTTAGAATATTACTCACCTGTTGTATAATGATTTGTTCAGCTTTAGTTTGAAATACAAAAAGGAAACGCTGAGTTTTTCTCCCCTAAGGACTTATTATGTGGTCTTTCGCCATCTTGTGGCGGTCAACCATTAATTTCTTTGCTCTGCATGCTGAAGGCCGCCGACACGTTGAATCTACAATATTATAAATATTTAAAAATGGACACCATCCTTATAAATAAACTGCATAGTTGCAAGCTACACAACTACATTCTCGACTAAAAAAAAGCCTCAAAACTACATTATGTTGTCCAACAGCTGCAATATTTGTCAAACTGTAGTGAGTTTATTGATCTGCTGTCTCTCTATGTGGGCGGAGTAATACAGAAGGGTGAAAAGGCTGTACGAGTGCTGTTATTGCAGAATATCACATGGCTATCAGCCAATCAGATTCGAGAACCAGAGCGAACTGTTGTATAAAATCACATAATAAGCAGCTGATCAAGTTTTTTTGGATTACATAAAATACACTAGCAGGTTACAATCAAACTTTGCAGGATAGTGGTTTGAAGCCTTCTGAATTATTATTGTGAATCACACATTGGTGTTATTTTCAATTCATTCATACTGGACACTAGAGGGCGCTCTCGCACAAACTCTTCATATTTTGAAATACGTTAGCTATCGCTGCTGCAGTGCAGAGGATAAAGATGATAGAAATTAATAAATGGATCAAACATGAACACAATAAACAAACTCTTATGTTAATATCTGGATTATTTCTGTACATTAAGTCATCCTGGTTGTTGTATAACCGTAAAGTACATTTATAAATCAACGCTAATTGACCTAGCATTCATTACTGTATTGAAAATTATTAAAAACGTACTTTCCGAGTGTAATTATGAATAAAAATCTCTTGTCTTTTTAATGACACAGATCGGAGGGGGTCATAACATTCACCCAGTGGTGTCCGGAGTTGCTGAGAGGGTCATCGTTGAATCGAGGGAGCTTCGACTTCAGCCGTTCAATGAATATCGCAAGAGATTCAATCTGAAACCCTACACATCCTTCGCAGAATTGACAGGTATAATTGAACTTCAAATTTTTGTACTATTTACAGTACAGGAGAAGAATGGTGAACATATATTTCATCATTACTGCCTTTAAAGAGCCTCTTTTATCTAAAAATCACACTATGCTTATTAGAGATGCACGGATCAGCTGAAATGTCACCCGAATCTGCAGCTTCATACTAATCATCCACCCGCTTGCACATATCATTTTATCTGAAATATATCCACACCCGATCATAACTTTAATAATTCTAATTCTTTGTTTTAGGCATGACGATAAGTCAGCGTGGATAGTTCGTTATTAACAGCAGATTCAGTGAATGAGCTAATCTGAGCATCTATCCCTTGTATATCAAGGCAGTACAGGTCCACACATTCATCCATGAGACCAGACTTAACTTCCAGTTGTATTTTTTTGCTGTCCCGTTGAATGTAAGAACTTAAAGTGCTTGTTAGACCTGACTGGCCTTTTGATTTAGCACACACGTGATGTTTTATATTTAAGGTAACAGTCTTGTGGCTTTCTTATACATACATCGCTTCACAGCCATTGCATATTACATACCCAGCGCTTGATTCATCCTCGTTAACCACTTCACTAAAACGCTCCCACACGGCACTTTTGTGTTGCTTTTAATTCTTCCTTTTTTTAAGTTTCTCTTGAATCGGTTTCGCCTCCATTTCTGCTTTAACAAATGGACTTCCTCCACCATGCGCATATATATTTATTTTAATTAGCCTGAAAATTAGGGCCTTTTTGCCTGATGAAAAATGTATTAAAAGCATGTTTATATTTTACAGAATGTGTTTCAAAAATACAAAGCAAAAATCATTAATAATTAAACTCATTCACTCGCAATTAATCATAATGAATTTTTTATTACCCGACCCGCCAGACCTGTGGATTATTTGCAGCACGCGCGGATATAACCGCCATCTCCGCATCACTAATGCCTATCATTATATTCGTAATGTGTTCAGAATGTAATTAATTCATTGTTTTTTAAGAGTGTAATGCAGGGCCGGAGTGGGACTCCTTTTCAGCCCTGGAGTTTCAAGCATTAGACCGGTCCACCTCAGTTCACGACTGACTATATTAAAAATAACGTCATTTCCAATTTAGTTTCTAATTACACTGTCACGTCTTTTTAAAGAAAACAGCTGCTTTAGAACTTCAAATGTTCAACAACCTTACAGTTTTATATGCCTTAACAATAAAAATGAAAAAACAATTTTTTTACTCAGTTAAGGATCGAACACGGATCGACGACGTCATAACGCAACGTGGTGACCATTGGACCACAATGTCGCTGCTATGCTTGTGAGGCCGGAATGATAGTTACATCATCATTACCCTGCTGGCTGCATTTTGCTCATGGGGCTGCGAGACAATAAATAAGAAGAGTGAGGCTATGGTCAAATAAATAAATAAATGAAAAAAAAAGTGCAACTGGTGAAAGTGCAAGCAGCTAGAAACACCGGCCCTTGCGGCCAAAAAACGGACCGGCCCACCGGGAACTCTCCCGGTCCCCCCGATTGGCCAATCCGGGCCTGGTGTAATGAGAGAAATTGGATTTTTAAAGTGAAAATTATTTCTGTGCATAACTTTTAGTCACAAGCCACAAGTTTTACAAGCTGTTTTAGCAAAGTTTTACTGACAATCCCCAATTATTTTTGGGTCTTTTCTAGTGTTGTCAAAATTAGCACGTTAACGCATGCGATTCATTTGAAATATTTATGCGTTAAAAAAAGTAGCGCAATTAACGCAGTTGCAGTGTTTTTATTTCCTGTTGTGGCCGCATGTGTTTAACGTGCAAAGAAATATGGCTAAGACCAAGGAAGCACTTTTAGAAGGAAAGTTTCAGTACAAAACATGTCGCATCATCAGCCTCTCCAGCGTTTCCTCCAAAGTTTAATGTAATTTTGGATGTTTCATGTTTAATCTTTCAAGTTTAACTGCAGTTCAGCGGTTTCACTTTCATTCAGCAACATATTGGTCACGCCCTTTGACAATTATTGGATTAGAATATAAAGTAAGGACTGCTGGAAGAGTGTTGTTTTATCGGAATTTGATACCGCATGGTGAACGAAAAGAAAAACCTCTGCATTTCGTGACTTGGGTGGTCCATTAAGGTAATCAGAAATCGCTGTTTACATGGTAGACTCTTAATCAGAGTATTATCTTAACCATATTAAAATCTGAATATTGGTGTCCATTTAAAGGTGCTCAGTGAAAGTGCCAGATGATGTCACAAGTTGTCAAAGACAGTGCATTCCTCTGCCTTTATGTTAAGTAAAGTTTGACATTTTTTCTCACTTGCACGCAACTTTTGTAAAGCGTCTGCTTCACGTTGCTATGTCAGAATCCTTGCTTGTAAAATACAGCCATACTTTAGAACACTTAGTTTATGCAAAATTGGTGAACGCGATCATGCGTGTTTATAAATCTGAAGGGAGTCGCTCACCGGGTGTGCTGTACTGCGCGCGTTGTGTGTGTGTGTGTGTGCGCGTTTCCTAGCAACAAGAACATATGCCTCACATCGTCGACAGTGTCTGTATCCCTCAAAGTTGTTTAGAATGAAATGTTTAGAGATGGTGGGACCAAAGTCCCTGTAAGAAGTCTATAGCCTTTGGTGTAAAAACGCGTACCTGTGGGTGCCTTTGATGTACCCCTTTATGCTTGATTTTCTTCCTTGTCGCAGCACTAGTGGGCACCAAAATTAGGCACAGAAATTAAAATCCTGATTCCGTGATTCTGCTTGTGAGAGACTGTTCTCACTCTCAGGTCACATCATTCAAAAGAAAAGAGCCACATTGTCCCCCGATAATAGCCCCTTTCACACATACAGACCTTTCCGGAAAATTGCTGGCAATTTTCCGGAAAGGTTGTATGTGTGAACAGGTCCTTTTTGAAAATACCGGTAAATTCGTTCTGGCTATTTTCCAGAAAGAGAAGTTGTAACATTACCGGCAATTTGCCGGAATGCTGCGCTGTGTGAATGCAGAAGGAAGATTGCCGTAATAAGCGCGTGCACGTCTAGAACGTGCTGACGTGAGACGTCTGCTTTAGCCAATCACAACAGTCAGACGCATTTACGTCCGCGCGGTTTGTGAGAATAAAAACCTTTGAATATTTTTCCAGACACATTTAGCTGCTAGAAGTTAGTCAGATCACGTTTATATGTTCTTCTTAATGCCAACTGTGTAAATAATCATCGATGTGATGCTTATGATAAGCCGTTGTTTGTTTACCTTCAAGCTTTGCGTGTGCCTGTGAAACAGCCTATGAGCGCCTGCACACGCACATATTATGAACATCTCGACATGAGAAAGTGATCCTGCGAAAGTTGTTCACAATATTGATCATCCACAGAGTTTAGTTTAATTTAGTCAAATGTTTACAAATACAAGCGCAGCCGTTTAAAGCTCATTTGTGGTGAATGACGTCAGAATTTACCGGTATTTTGGAATGGATGTGTGAAAGCTCTTTTCCGGAAAATTTCCGTAACGTCCTCGCCTGTGTGAACAGCGCTTTTTTGAATATACCGGTAAAGTCGTTCCGGAAATTTTCCGGATATTTACCGGTATCACTGTGTGAAAGGGGCTAATGTCAACAGACTGGTCTGTCTCAACAACTGGCTGAATGTAAAGGAAAAAAAATCTACTTTATAATTAATGTTCTCAACTCTCAGCAATACAACTTTTCAATGAGTACAATTATTAGCATTCAATACTTAATTATTATAATTTTCCAATTTCCATACTTGCAATGCCTCTATTTTGGAATTTTTTTGCAGTCTGCTTATAATACAACATTGAAATCATTTTTGTTTGTTATTGGCATTGGTTGTTTTGGAATTTAAACGGCACTTACATGCCTGTGCTTTTATTTCTGTAATAAATATGGCTTTATGTCCAACAGTTTGAGGTTCTTGATGGTTTATTGCAGGTTTGTTGTTTACATGAAGAAATCTGTCTTACAGGTTAAACAAAAATTCTGATAAACAATTGAATTTAAATAGTTTCTTTGTCTTAAGTTTACATTAATTTTACATTTCAATAGCCAAAATGACAAATTTCAGTCTTTTAAATGTGATTAATCGCGATTAATTGCAAAAAAAAAAAAAAGTGTGATCAATTAGTTACATTTTTTAAATTTATTGACAGCACTGGTGTTTTCATAAAGACACACACAGAAAATAGTCAACAAAATTGAAAAAACAATTTTCACTACAAAATGGCTCTTCCTGGCAACTGTCTGAATTTAGTTTGACCTCCAGTGGCTTGTATGATCTTTCTTCTACTGTAGTCAAAGATTTATGTTTGTTATAATGGCTTTACAGCCTCATGCATTTTGGGTATCCTCCAACAATTGAGTGATAAAATAATTTGTTAAAATAATTTTTATTTTTAACAGGCTGTTGTAGTTGTGGTCAAAGTGTGCAGCCCTTAGGCTGGGGAGTGAACCTTACTGCTGCCACACAAACCACCCAATTTACATTTCTATTACATGTTACTTAAGCCTAGGGCGAGAAATGGGGAGATAAGACTAGGAAATGCCATACTGCTGCTATAATGTTCTGGCCTCTGATTTATCAAGGCTGGTTTATTCCTCTTGGTGTTAAAATATCATTGTTAAAGTCTGAACATTCTTGTTTTCCAGGAGAGCAGGAAATGTCTAAAGAGCTGGAGGAACTATACGGACATATTGATGCTATGGAGTTCTACCCAGCTCTTCTGCTAGAGAAAACACGACCTGGTGCGGTATTTGGTGAAAGCATGGTGGAAATGGGGGCCCCTTTTTCCCTAAAAGGCCTCATGGGAAATCCTATCTGCTCCCCAGACTACTGGAAGCCCAGCACATTTGGAGGCAAGACAGGCTTCGATATAGTAAACTCTGCTACTTTAAAGAAACTGGTGTGCCTTAATACGAAATGGTGCCCGTATGTGTCTTTCCACACTCCCCCATCAGATTATAAACCACAGAGGACATCTCACGGCGAACTTTAGCAAAACGTCTGTCTGGAATCCCGCTGAAAACACTGAACACAAATAAATAAGAAATTCAAAAGCGCAAACAAGTTGTTTGTAGCAAGGTGATTGAAGTGTATATTTTTGTAAGAGGTTACACTTTATTTTAAGTCACATTAAATACTGTGTGCTTACATCAAAATTAGTACAATGTACTTATTGTGTTCAAATTGCAATGCAGAAATTAAGATGGTAGGATTAGGGACAGGTTTGGTGGTATGAGTAGGTTTAATTGTGGGTTAAGGTGTAAGGGATGGGTCAACAATGTAAATGTAATTACACACTGTAAATTAATTACAGGTGTAATGTATGTACAAGTATGTACATAATAAGTGCATTGAACCAAAGTTTTCATTTAAATTTACAGACACATACAGGAGCACCTCATGTTACTTAGACCCAATCCCAATTCTGTTTTTGTACCCCTTCCCCTTAGCCCTTAAAACCGAGGGTTAAGGAAAAGGGCTTCAAAATTTACCCCTAAGAGTTGGGACAGCACTACAACACCTGCACACAACATCATATGTCCTCGCTATCTCTTGCTTCATGTGAGATCAGACAATGGCGACTGCTGTATTTGTTATTTGTTGGTATTTATCTTGAGGAAATCACTGAAGGCATATATTATGTTCTCATAATGATCCAATGTGGCAATGAGATCGTAACTGTGCTGTGCATTTACACAGTGGCCATATTCATCAATGTAAACACACCAAAAACAGTATGTGTCTCAGCTTCCAATTACCAGGCATTAGCATTAGCGTGTTTAGTGTATATAAAACTATGATTGGCTCTGAATAAAATTATATAAATGGTAACAGTACGGCATGTGGCTCAGCTTTCAATTAGCAGGCCTTAGCATTAGCATGTTTAGTGTATTTAAAACTATGATTGGCTCTGAATAAGATTATATAAATGTTAACAGTACGACATGTGGCTCAGCTTTCAATTAGCAGGCATTAGCATTAGCATGCCTAGTGTAGGCTATCAAATTATGACCAGTTCTGAATAGATTGATCTAACTGGTAACACATTTTGTGTCTTAGGTTTCCATTAGCAGGCATTAGCATTAGCATGTCTAGTGTATATCATACTTTGATCGGTTCTGATTAAAATGATCAAATTGGTAACAGTACAGTATGTGTCTCAGCTTCCAATTAGCAGGCGTTAGCTTTAGCATGTCTGTATATCAAACTAAAATCGGTTTTGAATAAAATGATCTGTAGCAGTACAGTATGTGTCTCAGCTTCACATTAGCAGGCATTAGCATTAGCATGACTAATGTATATCAAAATATTATTGGTTGTGAATAAAATGATCTAACCATCCTTGGCTGGTTGGCTGGTTTAAGCTGGATTTTTCAGCAGGGTGTTCAGCCTGGTTTTAGAGGGGTTTTGGCCATTCCAGCTTAGCTGTTCAGGCTGGAACATGACCAGCTAAAACCAGCTTGATTAGCAGTGTTAACATAGCATGTCCAGTGTATATCAAACTATAATTGGTTCTGAATGAAATTATCTAAATGGTAACAGTATAGTATCCTTTAGCTTCCAATTAGCTGGCATTAGCATTAGCGTGTCTAGTGTATATGACCGGTTCTGAAGAAAATAATCTAAATGGTAACAGTACAGTGTGTCTCAGCTTTCCATTAGCAGGCATTAGCATGGCTAGTGTATATCAAACTACTATTAGTTCTGAATATAATTATCTAAATGGTGAATAGTACAGTATGTCTCTCAGCTTCCAATTAGCAGGCATTAGCATGTCTAGTGTGAGTTTGAGAAAGTCAAGACGAGACTTTTAATACGTAATTATTATTACTTTGTTTTATTGATTTATAACTTTCACTTCAATGTAAAATCAACCCATGAAGAACCCAACACTCCCGATCTCTCGAGATTATGTTCAACAATACAGGTCAGAGAAATAACTAATGTTAAGGTGGTTCAAACCTTTGGCACGAGCAGAAGTAACAGTCGAGTTGTTGCACAAAATAGACCAACTTTAAGCTCCATTTACTCTCCATTACTGTGGAGGCCTTTCCCAACAATACTTCACATAATAGCACGACTTACAGAAGACATTTTTGTAAGAATCCATAAAAGATTTGGAAACAAATGCTAAATAGTATCTAATTTTCAGAAAAAAAAACATATATACATTTAATTACTCTGACATTCTTGCAGTATTAAAAATTCCTTGGCGTTATAAGAAAGACAGTGTATATAAACCTGATGAATCATCGATTTTCCCTACAATTATACCATGAATCTGAATATGCATACTTCCATTCTAAACTATATACAAAAAAGCTAAATGCGGAGTACATGAATAAGCCAAAACATTATGACCAATCATAACAGGGGAAGTAAATACTATTGACCATCTAGTAGATTTCCAGGTCAGATATATTAAATGTTACGCAAACAATCAGTTTATCGATAGTTGCGTTTCCATCCAAATATGCAAATTAGACTTCGATTTAGACGTACTGTAAGCGCAAAAACTGGAATATCGTATAAAACCTTTGCGAATAAGGCATCATTTCCATCCAACCATTGTTTCCATCCCACTCTGATGACTGGATTTAATAACTAAAACAACAATTGTTTGTTGATTAACCGAGCTCATTTTTGCTATCACACTATCTCTTAAAACAAAATCACATGACTGTTTCTGTGTATATATATATATGTATATATATGTGTGTGTGTGTGTGTGTGTGTGTGTGTGTGTGTGTGTGTGTGTGTGTGTGTGTGTGTGTGTGTGTGTGTGTACGTGTATGTATATATATATATATATATATATATATAAATATATATATATATATATATATATATATATATATATATATATATATCTTAATAGATAGATGTTTTTAGAAGGTCACCTGGCACGAAAAGTTGTATATTTTTGTCTTCATAACACTTCTCGGGTGGATGTTTCTCTGACAGCAGGAAAATACACACTGCATTGTTCAGGAATGACTAAAGAACATGATGAACAGTTCAAGGTGTTGTCCTCGCCTCCAAATTCCCAGATTCTAATACTAAGAAGCTCTATGGTCAATCCAATGATCTTTCGGATATGCTGGATGGTCAAGTTCATTCCAAGGTCCTCTCAGCCTACAGGACTTGCTACGAATGTCTTGGTGGCAGATTTCACAGGACTCCTTCAGTGGTATTGTAGAGTCCATCTCTCAGTAGCTTGTCATTGTTCTTAATGTTTTGGCTCAGTGTTGTGTATAGTAGTCACCATTTGAAATGGATCATTTAACCTTTGACCAAACCCAAAGTTGTCCCAAATCAACTCCCATTCTTGGCTTTAGGACAATTTTTTAAACATTTTTGATTTACTTCAAATGTTGACTACTGTATACATGTCAAACAGTCATCAGTATCGTTTCAGTATCAGCTTGAATAAAATGTCTTGATAAAAGAAAATGGGAAAAATTGTTACTATATACTGTAGGTGATATAAATAAAATTGATCTATGATTACATTTATTTTCCATCTATGATTAAAAATAAATATCTTTTTATATAATATCTAAACTAAATTTTTAAATATATCTGTACATTATTATTAAATATTTACAACAGGGGTCACCAAACTTGTTCCTGGAAGGCCGGTGTCCTGCAGATTTTAGCTCCAACCCTAATCAAACACACCTGAACAAGCTAATCAAGCTCTTACTAGGTATACTCCAAACACCCAGGGCAAGTTGGAGCTAAACCCTGCAGGGACACCGGCCCTCCATGACCGAGATTAGTGACCCCTGATTTACAATAAACAATTTAATATACTCTGAAACAATAGCTGTATGAAACAAAACAATGTTAGTTTGACTAAAAAATACACTTTACATTTTTATTTTATTTCTTTGTTTGTTTGTTATTGGCAATACATTTTTATTAGCAATTCTTTGCTAAAAGACTAAGTATGAAAATCTGTTTTGCTTAGTAAAGAGTCTAAACTCTAAATGAATGGTCTCAAAGCCAATTCCTGGAAGGCCGCAGCTATGCATAGTTTAACTTCAACCAACTCTTAACAGTCTCCAGGGCTGCATCCGAAATTGTCTACTACACAGTAGGTGCTGCATTTGAATTTAAACGTACAACTCTGATGTTAGAAAAGTACGCTCTATACAGTACGGATGTGAGTAGTATGAATGGAACTTGGAGGTACTACATCCACCATTTTGTCATGTTCATGTGATCTACCCGCATCAGTTATATCGATTCACTCCCATACATAACGGTGCATCATGGGATAGTGTAGCGTCCATCCCATGCACACTTCAGAATCTCATCGGAAGTTGTAGGTCATCAAGGTACTTCTAACATACTGTTTTTCGAATTCTGTAGATTTAGACACTACTTGGCTCACATACTGTTTTTAGCCTACTATATAGTATGGAAGTATTCAATTTCGGATGCAGCCTAGTAGTCTTGAACAGTTGGATTAGGTGTGTTTTGTTAGGGTCGGAGCAGATTCGAGATTGAGATCTATGCTCTAAATCAGGGGTCACCAAACTTGTTCCTGAGGGCCGGTGTCCTGCTGATTTTAGCTCCATCTCTAATCAAACACACCTGAAGCTAATCTTACTAGGTATACTTGAAACACCCAGACAGGTGGTTTAAGGCAAGTTGGAGCTAAACTCTGCAGGGACACCGGCCCTCCATGACCGAGATTGGTGACCCCTGCTCTAAATGGTATCAACTAACCGTTTTATTTATTCATTTATTTATCAGTTTATGTTCTGTTATAGTATCATGAATGTATGTCACTGTCATATTACTATTACATATTATTGTCATATCATATTATCTAATAAATTTGTTATTAGCTCTAAACATTGCTTAATTTATTAATAATTAGTGAAACCCAACATGTAGGTTGATGCCAGAATTATTAGCCCTCCTGTGAATATTTTTCTCTTTCAAATATTTTTTCCAAATTATAATTTACAGAACAAGGAAGTTTTCACAGTAGTTCATATAATTTTTTTTCTTCTGGAGAAAGTCTTATTTGTTTTATTTTGGCTAGAAAAAACTGTTTTTGTTAAGGTTTTAAAAATATTAGCATCCTTAATCAATATTTTTTTCAATTGTCTACAAAATCAACCATTGTAATACAAAGACTTGCCTGTATATTTATATAGATATATATAATTTTTTTATATATATATTGTATATGACACATCATAGTTTTTCAACCCAGGCTCATTCTACAAAAAGTACTGCTATACACATTTCTGAAGAGTGCCAAATATGTCCCAGGAGCTACATTTTTTTTGCAGTTTTTGTTTTTGTAAATCCACCAGAGGCTGCTGTGTACGCTTTTTGAGGTCTCAAATTTAGTCGCAAGTGCCATTTGAGCCGGCTGTTCTTGTATAAATCCACCAGAGGCTGCTGTCGACTGACTGACTGATTGAGTGATGACTGACCCACCCTCCTCCCTAAACCCAACCAATAGTTTTTTCAAAAGCGCCGATTGACCCGATCACCCACTTCCCTAAACCCAACCGATAGTTTTAAAAAGCAATCTAAACAAAGAAAAGCCTTTACCTGATTTTTACTACATTTTCACTTCTTACCACATTCTCATCCTGGTTTTTACTTTTTTATTTAACTTTTTTGGCTTTTGTTTTTGTCTTACCCGATTTCTGGAATGGAACCTTGTCATCATGGTCAACTCCTCTCTGTGTCTCAAGTCTGCCAACATACACGGGGAGCTACTGGACAAACTGGTAACAGTGGGAAAGCCATAAATATGTAGGTAAGCGCGAAAAGGAATGGTGTCATACCACTCAGTAACGTTCGTTTTAAAGATAAAATGCAGCCATACGTACTTCTGGCAACATAATTTCCAGAAACTTATATAGGGCTACGTTTTCAGAATGAGCCTATGTTGTAATTAATGTTCATTTCAATAGTTGTTTATTCATAGTGTATAATAAACAATATGATATAATATAGTTGCTATATTTTTATCAGTGAATTTCTGGTAACAATAGCTGCCATTTTTCACCATAATTTTAAAAAGAAAATATTTATAGTCCGTCTAAATGGTTCTGGTCCAGTGTTTCCCAACCCTGTGCCTGAAGGCACACCAACAGCACATATTTTAGATGTCTCCCTTATCTGACCCATTAACTTCAGGTTTTGGAGTCTCTTCTAATGTTCCGATGAGTTGATTCAGGTGTGTTTGATTAGGAGGAGGTTGAAACTGTTGGTGTGCCTTCAGGAAAAGGGTTGGGAAACACTACTGGTCATTGTTAAATGCTACAAATAAAAAGCTTTCACCTGACTCTTATTACACAATCTTGTTATTTACCGAGCCAGCAGAGGGCGCAGTTAGTTCATGCTCTAGCCTGGTGTTCAGCTGCTGAACTGGTGCTCCGAATGCGGGGTTAGTGGCTGCCAAAGGGGCTGATGGGTAAAAGTGCACATCCACTGCCACAGAGGTCATGCCCAGCGACACGCAGTGGGACAGCAGGAGCGGAGAGACGCCATGCGAGATGCTGATGCTGTGACGCACTGGGGTTGAGGAGGGATCGGTGGTCCGGAGGGTCAGGGATGAGCGCAGGCCCTCCTCCTGGGCTGGTGCTGGGTTTGGGGGAGGGAGGGACGAGGCGTCCTGACAGGGTTCAAACTCTCTGCTCCTCCAGTCTTCCATGCACTGCAGCTGAACGTCAGTGTGTGGCGAGGGACTGACCTTCCCCTCCTCAAATATAGTCTCCAACTAAAGGCAAAAACACAAAGGTTTAATCAACATTAAAGGGTCACGAAACACCAAAACACATTTTTTGAGCTGTTGACAGTCGTATATGTGTCCCACACTGCTAAAAACACTATTAGGACACATATATCTCACTAAAAAGTGAAAATTGGTTGATTTTGCGTTATTTCGAGCAAATTCGTACTTCCGGTTTGAAATGAATTTTTGAGGCTGCGTCATGGCTTTAGCGTGTATTCCAGCATATAGACTGGATGTCCGTACCTGAGAGTACCTTATTACGTCTCGGAGTATGCTGCATTAATGCATGAGTAAGACTTGGTTCAATTCAATTAGCGCGCTCTATTGTGCAACTTCATTAATATGCATGCTAGCTTCCAAGACTGTGTTCAGACGGCAGAGAGACGACACGTTGTGTTGCCAAAACAAGCGTGCAGTGTTGCTTTTATAATTTGCTGCAGTGAAGATTTTGTTTTCATTTTCTCTCTATGGGAGCGCAGCTGGACTCACGTGTGGATTACAGTGTTCGCGACGCACAATAGTCGAGAAACTATGCGCAAGGTACACTGTTTACCCGAGAGCTTTTCTCATCTGGAAATGATGAGATCAGGATTTGCTGCTCGTCTCCTTTTAATAAAGACGCGGCTCTAGTTGGTGTTCATTGTCCTGTCTCTACAGATTTGGTAAGTGAGTGACCAATGGTCTTTGTTTATTCAGATGGCGAAGCTAGCTAAGTGCTATGCAGGTAAACCTCAGTCCTCTCACCTCAAAAGGTGCTCTAGCCACATAATGATTTGAATGATTCTCTAGCGTAATGTCTAAAATTATGGCAAAACAGGTGATTTTGCTGACATTTTAAAATTATAAGGCTGAACGGCATGAAATGCCATCAGTCTAGAGATTTCCCAGTACTTCTCTGTTGCAATCGGGAGATTACAATAGTTAACTCCGAAAAAGCCTAAGCAGCATAAACACTACTACAGGGGTCTCAAACTCGCGGCCCGCGGGCCATTTGCGGCCCTCAGTGCAATATTTTGTGGCCCGCGCCGACCGCTGTACACTGACAGAATCAGCGGAGCGGGGAGAGAGAGCGCTCCCCGCTCCGCTGATTCTATCCGTACACAAAGGGGCGGGGGTGCCGGTGACGTCACCACGCACCCCGCCCCTTTGTTAGACGCTGTGATGGGCGGGAAGTGTTAGGAGGGAACTCGCGCCGACCAGAACCAAGGTAAGCTGTTCCCGCCCCTGCCTGCCACTTAGCTACCTATCTGCAGCCTGCCACCTACCTAGCTACAGCCTGCATCTTATATATATTATAGGTAGATACAGACTGGTACAGACTGATGTGACTGTGGGGTGGGGGTGTTTTATTTATACATATATACGCCTTTTTTTTAGGTGAGGGAATGGAAGTTTTGAGTGAGTTTAGACAGGTCTAGACTTAATGATGATCATCTTCAAGCCATACTGAGGGTCTCAACTGCTTCCGCTCTAAAGCCAAATGTGGTTCAGATTTGTGAGAAAAAGCGCTGTCAAGTCTCTGGCAGCAAGAAGTAGGCAAAAGATGCCATGTTCAGAAGAACTGTTCATAATCTTCACTCAATGTTCTATTAATGTTTAGGACACTTCATGTTCAGAAGAAATAATTAAAACTGTTAATAATGACATTTGAGGACTTTTTTTTGTGAAATCCCTTATGCGGCCCAGCCTCACCCAGACTTTGCCTCCTGCGGCCCCCAGGTAAATTGAGTTTGAGACCCCTGCACTACTAGATTGCTGTTGTGTTTGGGATAAAGAAAAATGCTAAACACATGCGGGCATTTCTTCTTTCTTTCTTTTTACTGAACTGGTCGGTTACTTATTAGAAACAGTTGTCCAACAAAAAAGTAACAGGGTTATACAAAGAGTGGCCAACACAAAATATATACCATCTCACACTTCCATCTCACACTCAATACAATTACTATGGTATAAATACAGCACTACATTATACTGTACAAAAGAGAGAGAGATCGACTTAGAAAGTCACTTACCAGTTTAATAATGATTTGATCAGCTGTACGCTGTTTTTCTCATCCAAGGGCTTATTATTATCTCTATCGCCATCTTGTGGATGGACAACATCAACCGTCTGTGGTCTGCTCAATGATAGGCTAATGGCTGACGACACGCTGTTTCTCCGAATTATAAATATTCAAAATATGCTCTATTTCTGTCAATAAACTGAAATTAAACAACTACATTCTCGAATAAAAAAGCCTCAAAAGTACATTATGCTGTCCAACAGCAGAAAAAAGAGTGTCCTCTGCTTAACGCTGTATATAAAGCTGTTATTTTGCTTGAATTTTAATGTTGTATCTTCATCCCCTGGCTATTGTAAAAGCATTGCAAAAAATAGTTGTGTTGGTTGTCAAGTACTTGCGCATGCACAAGCATAACATATGGATATAATATGCCTAAGTATGACATCACTGTTTTAACAAAATCACAATTTAAGTGTAGTTTTCAGAAAGTTTGAAAAGTTTGTGTTTTCGTTAAGTAATAAAAAAAAAGTAAAGGTTTTTGTCCTGACCTGGTCCTCCTCTCTCGGTTCTGGGTGCGTCTCCACAATAACAGGAAGGTCCTGAATGGACCGTACACCTTCGTCCACATCGACGACATCGAAAACAGACGAATTGCTTTCTGTTGGCAACGCTCGTGTCTCAGAGTTGTTGGGGCTTTGCTCAATAACAGCCACCAAGTTATCATCTTCAAACGCCCTAAAATGTGCCATCAAGAAGGTTACAAAAAAGTACCATTCGATAAATGCTGTGTTGACAGGTACAAAAGACAAGACTAACTTGTTATCATAGGTCATTTCCATTGCATGGCGATCCCCTTGTCTGCAAGGGCCACAAAGGCCCCTCAGAGCTGTGAGGAAAACAATTAGATTAGATTTTTGATGCATTTTAAGACACTTTATAAACTCTTCACAGCTGTATTTGAGTATCAAGGTTTGTTATATTAAAGTAAAGTCCCTTTAAGGCAAGTTTCACTTGGCACCTCATGCTAGAGCATTCTTTTAGAATGGGGAAACATCAAATTCTACAAAACTGTTTGCCAAGTTTACAATTACATTACATAATAGGAGTCAACAATAAAATTAAACAACAACTGTCTCTTTTGTATCATTTCTAAACATTTGAATAAAAAAAAAAATCTGCAGAATTTCATGTCTGGTCCGAGCCCCTCCCCCAGAGAATCGTCAGTCTATATCGATCAATGCTTGGCTCCTGTACTAGAAGGCGGGGCTTCATTTGCCATATTTACTGTTACACTTTTCCCCATTCAAAGCTATAAAAGTGACATGTTGTGTGTTTTCTTTAGTGATTAAAGGTGCTGTAAGTAAGTTTTTGACACGTCTAGAGCATAAATATATGATGATATGTCAGATATTTACAATACATTCTACAGTGAGTTAACATACTTGTATATCTGATAAACAATCCCAAAATCAGCTAAAATTATGCTGTGCGTTGTGTGCAGGGCCAGATTAAGAACACATTGGGCCATGGGGCTATAGCAAATCCAAGGGCCCCTTTTTATTTATTTTTTTCCTCACAAAAGGTTATATATATATATATATATATATATATATATATATATATATATATATATATATATATATATATATATATATATATAATTGTTATTATTAATAATAATTTACCAATTCATTTTATTATCTAATTTTCCACCACTTGATTTATATTTTATTATTATATGTATTTTTCTATTTTATTAAAATAGGTCTGAAAGTATACGAAATTAAGTAATGACAAAATATGAACTTTAAAGATCAAACAGGCTGCAAAAATCAGCATCAACATTTGCAATACCTCCTAAATTAGTGCTTTATAATTAGTACTTTAAATAGGATTTTACCTTTAAAAAGTTTCTTTCAAACTTTAGCCCACCATGAATCCCTAATGATAGGATATCTTTAAAATCCATGCTTCTATATGCAAAATATTGTGGTCTTCTGAGTTACAGAAGGCTAACAATTCTGAAAGCAGAAGGCAAATCCCTATTTTATTTTATTTTATGCATCAGATATATTGTCTGATGAAAGCCAGCGCCAATATTTCATTCCTCCAAATTCTACAGCCAGTGTGAGCCACAGTTTAGCACCAGCGTCACTGTTTTTGAACAGCAGCGAACCAAAAGGAATACCTCACATTATCAATGAGCAAAAGCATAACGCAAAGAGACTTTCCCACACCATAGCGCAAATGAATTATTTAGCCTTCTTTCGTGGGCCCTGGGGCTTCAGCCCCACCTAGCTCTTATGTTAATCCAGCCCTGGTTGTGTGTCAGAATGTTTGTGTCATCAATCTGGCTACCTGCATGAGCACCTAGTGGTCATCGGAAGAGAAAAAAACTCTCCAATATTTAGAATTTGTACCGTAATACCTATGTTTAGTCAGTCACTACATACTGCACCTTTTAAGGTATAATTTACTCCAAAATTAAAATTCTGTTATTGTTAACTCATCCTCGACCTGTTCATAACCTGTTTCTTCCCTCTGTTGTACTGAAGATATACTCAATAATGTTGGAACAATTGACTTCCATAGTATGTTTGTTCCTGCTATGAATGGCTGCTTTTCTCCCCAACATTCTTCAGAGTATCTTGTTTTGTGTTCGATGGGGTCACTTGAGTGAGTAAACAATGAGAAAATTTTCCCATACTGGGTTGTGGCTGGAAGGGCATCCGCTGCATTAACATATGCTGGTATAGTTGGTGGTTCATTCTGCTGTGGCAACCCCTGATTAATATGGGACTAAGCCAAAGGAAAACGAATGAATGAATCATTGCAGTTTTTAATGCGTCACCTGCTCTTCCTGTAGGTACAACTGCAGGGTCGTTTTTCTGAACCAGAGAATAAAAGGCCATGGAGATGAAGATGAAGGCCAAAGAAACACCGACGCCAACCACAATGGGTATGTCATGTTTTTCAATCACTGGCAACCAAGTTTGAGATTTCCCCTTTTCTCTGAAGAACAGAAAGAAAGATGTTATTTGAAATTGAACACACAAGCCATTATAGTTCATTGTAATTTATTCAATTCATAGCATAGATATTTACAATAGATGTCGCACACACCGTTTTTGTCTACTGGAAGGAATGCGTCAATAGAGCTGCCATTTTAGTACAGGGTAGCTCTCCTTTGAAATGAATGTAGGACCAAGGTGCAATGAAGGACTGGCCATCCAGAGGGATGATATATACACATATATCTATGATCAGGATTTTTCCCGGTGGTCAGTATGTAAATATTATTTTAATAATGAAAACTATAATTTTACGACACTTTTCTACATCGCACGGGCATTGCTGATAAGGAGCGAGTGTTTGTGTACATGGAAATGTATTATCCTCCCTCCCTGTTAAATTTGATCTGATCCATGTCCTGAAACACACCCCCTCTCCCACGTTCACTTATTATAAATGGAGGGAGTGATTTGTTGTGAATGAATCCCCGTTCTGAATGACTCGTTCACTTAGCCAACAATAATACAAGTTAAATAAAATGTAATAAATTACTAGGGTTTTTTCGTTGAATTATTGATGCATGGGACTGGTTCAGTGCATTGAAACAGTATGTAATCGACATGTATCTAACCTCTCGCTATACACTTTACTAACTCACAAGGGTGTTTAAACCTTTGAATCAAAATTCAAAGCAGTCACATGGGTATTGTCGAAAATAAAGCTTCGAATGTCACTGATCACGTGATTATGGCAAAACGAATCAAGCTCTTGTACACTGCTTAACTGCGAGATGTATAATTTTTTTGATACATGTCTGTTTGGTCACCGGTCCTGACCAATTGCCTGTCATTTTGAACACGTTCTTTGGATTACCTTCATGCTCCAGTTTGCACCTGTTTGACAATTGCCTACCTGACTACTCTTGATTATTAAACTGCACGTGGATCCTCATTTCTGTTGTCCTGACCCATATGTAACAACTAATATCTTGAAAATATTTTGGTTGGGGTTGAGTTGTCGCGGACTAATGTGAAGAACTGGCGTTAATGGGGGGGCTAGGGGGCTTGGATGGTGGAGGGGTGTTGTGGACGAAAGTGAAGATCGTTGGGGAGTTGCGAAAGAAAGTGAAAGTGAACAGCAGACGGGGAGGAGGGCGGTTGAGGAGGGGGATTGGTAAAATGAGATGTGTTCCCTATATGCAGTGCCTAATTTGTAAATTGCGAGGTCCCGGAACCGATCAGGGTAATGGATCCAGCATGTTACCCAAATATGGAGAGGTGTCGCTTGTGAAAGTTGAGAGGGGGGGTTGATGTTTGATGGCAGAGGGGTGTCGCATGACGTGGAGAGCGGGGGGTTGTTGCGGACGAAAGTGAAGAAGGTTGTGGAGTCGCTAAAGAAAGTGAAAGTGAACAGCGGATGAGGGAGGAGAGCAATTGAGGAGAGGGATCGCTAAAATAAGGTTCTGGATCAGATTTTGAGAGGTCCCTGATCCGGATCCGACGTGTTCCGGTACAAATTGAACCCAATGTGTAACGATCACCAAAATGAAGGTAAAATTTACAAAATACTATTACTCTTTGCTATAATTGCCAACAACTCAAACACTCTTTTGATTACGGACCTGTTATTATTGTCGGTGGTCCTCATAGGGGCCTGCGAGGTGTTTTTCTTGGGTGTCTCGACCAGATCTGTGTCATTGGTGGCTGAGGTTTTGGCTTCTGACTTGATTTGACTCTGATTCTGATGCTCTTCCACAGAAGCTGAGCCGGTGAGGTTTCCCACATTCATCACTGTCTGAGTTTCTCCACTATTACGGGAAAAGCTTTGAGCGTGTTTAAGCTGGCTCTGAGAATAGGAATCTGCTGCCGAAGGGCTGTTTGTGTTTGTATTCATTTGTGGAGGTGCTTTGGTGAGCTGCTCTGTTGGCTGAATTTGTGGATGTGTGTCCTGTAGAACTGTAGTCTCTTTGAGCTGGGTCAGTGGTGTAGGTTTGACACGAACAGGGGTTGGTTTTTGTGTCTGCACAGGCTCTTTCATGTTCTCATTACTTTCTATGCCAATGCCACTTGACTTAAGTGAAATTCTCTCTGTAGTGTCTTGGGTAGATTCAGGATTCAAGTATGTTGGCGAGTCCTCCACAAAGGCATTTAACACTGGACCAAAGATTAGAAAAGAAGAAAAACATAAAATACCATTTTTCTGTCAGAATAAACATTTAAACAGGATTTGTTAACCCAAAAATGAAAATTCGATCATCATTTTCTCACCCTTCACTTGATCTGAGTTTTTTCTTAAGTTGAGCACAAGAGTTGATGGGCCCTATCATACAATTTGATAGGTGTTTTTTTGCTAGTCTTAGTCGAGTCACAGGTATCATTTTCACATCCAGCGCCACATTGTTTTAAATAACAACTTAAAGCTGGTCTAAAGTCAATAGCGCCCTTCCAGGTCACTGGAGAACACTCACTACCATTTAAGCTACTAGACATCTGCCACTAAACTGAACTACATGTCCCTTCATGCATCTCACACACACACCAGTTCCAGATCACCACTGATTGCAAACACACAGCTGAAGCTCATGAGGACTGATTACCCAGACTTTAAATACACCTCACTTTCACACACACTTTGCTGAGTCTTGTTTTTGTTTAGAGTGTCCTGTGTTTTTGACCTGTGCTTGTTTTATTATTCATGTTGTTTTGCCACCTGTCCCAACTATTCTCCTGTTATTTTGGCTACACACTTTGGAATACCTGTATGTTACAGTTTGCACCTGATTTGACCGTTACCTGCCTGATGATTCTCTTTAATAAACTGCAAGTGGATCCTCGCCTCTGTTGCCACCACGACTTGTTACAGACATAGTTCATGCATTATTTCATTTTCCTTTGGCTTAGTCTCAATTTTAGAGGCCGCCACAATGCAATGAACCGTAAACTATGCCAGCATACGTTTTACGCAGCAAATTTCTGGCTAGTTTTATTTTGTTATTTAAAGACTGCGTTAGTGTTAGTGACATGTTGCTTCTTAGACACAGAGGGAAAAATTCAATAATTAAAATGTAAAACATTATTATTGCCTGTATAATTATAAAAATGCCTACATGGTTAGTCATTGGATGTATCAAAATTAGCCCACCTACCTATTTGCAGTAATTGCATTGGCTAAATGCATACTGTATCTATTTCCTTACAAGTAAACGTTAGCATTTTCTGCTAACAAAGTCCACCATAAAAATAGCGAATCCAGCTACTCATTCTTAAAGGAAATAAAAGATAAAACTCTGATTGGTTTATTGCATGTTATTCCCAAAACAAACACATAACCCATTAAGAGAATAAGGACAACCCTTTTAGACCATGAGCCTGGTGCACAGACTGTTTTTCCCATCCTTAAAATAGCAAAAGTAGATTTGGCATTCTTCAAAATATCTTCTTTGTGTTCAACAGAAGAAAGAAACTCAAAGGTTTAAAACCACATGAGGGACAGCAAATGATGAGGTTTGGGTGAACGATCCCTTTAATATCCTATTGAGGATTACGAAGAAGTGTGGACTTACGAGATATCCTGGCGTAATCTTCAGTGGTTTGATGGAGAGGTTCGTTAATCTCTGTATTATTCAGCAGCTTTGAACCATAAAGAGTAAATAACTCCTGCTCACTCTCTAGAACCTGCAAGGTTGAAGAAACACAAGCACAAATTGTTTCCAGATCCATTAAGATATCCAAGGTATTATTCAACCATTAAACTGATTTAACACTGAACATGATCAGAATGGTGTACATTAGGGGTGCGATGGATCAATTGATTCACTTCAAGTCATTGAATTGAATAATTAACGCTTTAGAATAATGATACATTAGTTAATGATAGGCAATGTATTTAAGCACTTATTAATCATAGTTCAACATTTAATAATGCATTATTAAAAGTCGTGCTTGTTAACATTAGATAATGCACTGCGAGTTAACATGAACTAACGTCATTTAACTTAAATAAGATTAACTACCGTTAAAAAAGATGACTAAACACAGTAATAAACGCATTATTAATCGTTTCTTTATGTTAGTCAATTCATTAAATAACGATAAGGGACCATTATTTTAAAATGTTACCATTGAAAGGACAAAAACAAATAGCAACTATTATGAATTTCAAACATTATGACAAGTAAACATAACGCAACAAAAATAAACAAATTAGCAATAGCAACTACAATTGAAACAAACGGTCCTTTAAGTATAATATTAAGGTACACAAATATAATCCAATGTTTAGTAACAAATCAAGTAGAAATAATAGAATGAAGGAAAAATTTGAATTGTATATCAATATCTGCGAACTTCCAAAATTGCATCGTTGACACCAGCCTAATTTTTATATTTTATTAATTTCAGTTAATATTTTACACCAACTATTTTACATTTTGTCAGTTTAGTGGCTAATTTAGGCTAATAAGTTCAGTCTTACAAAGCGCAAAATTTTTAAAAGGAGGCGTGGCACCAAACCCCGCCCCTAAACTCAACTCGTACTGAGTGTCAGTTCATACAAATTAGCCACTAAATCAAAAAGTTATGAATTGCTGTAAGGTAACTTTGTTAGTGCTATAAATATAAATTCATTCATTTTCCTTCGACTTAGTCCCTTATTTATCAGAGGTCCCCACATTGGAATGAACCACCAACTAATCCAGCATACGTTTTAAGCAGCGGATGCCCTTCCAGCTGCAATCCAGTACTGGAAAACACCAATACACTCTCACATTCACACACACACACTCATACACTACAGCCAATTTAGTTCATCCAATTCACCTATACCGCATGTCTTTGGACTCTGGAAGAAACAGGAGCACCCGAAGGAAACCTACGCCAACACAGGGAGAACATGCAAACTCAACAGAGAAATGCCAACTGGCATAGGTGGGACTCGAACCAGCAACCTTTTTGCTGTCAGGCAACAGTGCTAACCACCGAGCCACCTAAATAAAAAAATAAATAAAATTCCAGAAAGTCTCTCTTAAAAAATATGTAATTTTTTATGTAAGAATATGAAAAAAGTTTGGTCATGAAGACTCTCAGGATTTAGTATTGTAAATGAATATATACTGTATATGGCAATGTTGATGTATTTGGTCTTGGCGGTATAGATCTGCTACGCCGCTGCTGCTGCTTCTGCTGCTTTGATTATTATGGCAGAGCAAGTACCGAGACCTGCTACTGCCAGTATATACACAGACATGCCTTCTGACAATATAACACGCTGCTGCTGCAAACATAATATATATGTAAACCCCGTAGCAGATCTAAACACAAGTGGAGTTGGGTTTAAGGAGGGTCTGCAGCTTAAACTGCATAAAATGACTGATTTGCATTTAAACTGATGAGGAGCAAGCTCATTGGCTGCCAAGGTGACAGCAACCAATCCCATGCACCATGTAGTTAATGACGCAGAAGCAGATTAGGAGACCTTTCAGCCTGTGTACGCAGGGAGTGTCATGGCAGAAATTTCATAAATCATACAATCAAATACATGTATACAGACGCTCAAGCTACGGGTGGACTCTGCATTACTCACAGTGGGTTTAGCTGTTTTACTCAGAGCTTCCTTATCAGGTGGAACATCAGGGTCTGCATTAAGGTGAAGCGTTGATTAGATCAAACCGAGATGCCAAAACATGAAGCTGCATTTATGAGAACTGAAAAAAAGCTCGGCTCTCATGTGTTCTGCTCACCAGTTACTGTTATAGTCACACGCCTGGCACCCTGACCGGCTCTGTTTTCTGCAGTGCACTGATAATCTCCTGAATCTGACCGCTGGATAGTCGAGATGACTAATGTCCCGTTATCTGTTAAATCACATTGCATTCAAAGAACAAATTAACATTTGCTTCACTGACTTTCACTGAAAAAAAGCTGAAATTTATGACCTATAATGAATGAATATTCATCACATAAATTCAAAATCAAACAAAAAGTGCTTCAAGGGTATCAGTGTCTTTGGATAAGGGATTCATAAGGATAAACAATGAAATTTTAAGTCCAAGGTACTCAAAATGTAAGTAAAAAGTACTCTTAACTTTTTTCATTTTTTTTTTTTTTTTTTTTAGATAATCCATAATCTATAGGAAAATTATCAGTGAATAAATGTTTAGTTCACCCCATATGGTAATTTTTAAAAGACGATGAACTTTCTTTTTTTTTTTTTTTTTTTTTTAAGAAAATGACAAAGTTTGCCCAAAGTTTTATTTATTTATTAACACATTTTGTTTATGTGCATGTGATTTTTTAGGTTTTTTTTTTATTTTTATAAATTTGCAACAATTTAAAAAAAACACATTGTCATTATGGGGTACTGTGTGTAGAATTTTGAGGAAATAAATAATAATATTAAAAATAAACTTTCCCAGCAAAATCGAGGAGGGTCTGGTTGAGCACAAAAAACAGCCACATACAGCATTTTAACAGGTATGGGATGCTTAGTTGACTGCTGGTTAAAAAGTAAATTAAATGGCAGTGAAAACTAGCCTAACAATAGGCAAAACATGTATAAGCAATGTAACTAAAATATATTCTTTCTGTGTTTTTGTAAAAAGAAAGTAAAAATGAAAAACAAAAATCCCTTATATTGTGTAAATTGGGCAACAATTATAGTAAATTCCCTGACTTTGAATGTATGGAAATTCCATAATATTCCAGAAATCCCCTGACCCTGTGGGAACCCTGAGTGCATTACAAACCGTCAATGTGTATGTGCTGTGGCAGTGAGACTGGAGATTTGGGATCAGACAGTTTAGTCCAGGTGTATTTGACAGGAGATTCTCCCACAGCTCGACAAGGCAGACTAACAGGAGATCCTTCTGAGACAGCGACCGATGGCGTGAATGAGACGATGACTGGTTTTACTGGAAATAAGAAATGTAGAATTAGATCTGTTGTCATTGTTTTTGACAACTAAAACCTGATAAAACACCCTTGCAAAACAGGCTAATATAGCACAAAACTACTATAGTAACTTATTGGAAGTACTATAATGTTTTTGAACCATCATAGTAAAAAACTTGAATGAAACTACAGTAAAAACTGTGTTAACTACAGTAAAACAAATTACACAATACACTTGTTTTCTACAATTGTACTACAATACACCACAGTTTACTGTAGTAAATTCCAAAGTATGAGACAGTTAGATGTAGGCTAACTATCGTAATCGAACTATAAACAAATTACACAATTGGCCTACTGTAAATTAGTTACTGTAGTTAGTGTACAATTATACAACAATGCAGCACGGTTTACTGTGGTAACATTTAAAGTATGCCACAGTATTTGTTTATCACTTCACATAGTTAATACTACAGTATTTTGTATCATTCATTTGGTGTTCATTCAATGCTATAATATGTATAGTAAGATACACTTTACGTTGGTACACTATAGATTTTACTATACTAAAGTATTTTCAATCTGAGAAGCCTTGTCCGTTCGCTAAGCACACTAAGTAGGCCTAATACACACTTTAGACACATTTTCATTGTTTATGTTTCCTCTATTTTGCTAACGAAAAAATAGTTTCAAAGTAAAATCAGATCAAACTATTTGCACATCTTGTTACCCTAGACTGTTACTGAATGATTTGGTGTTTTCGAATGAAATGAGTGATTCAGTGACCAAGAGAATCGTTTGCTTCCTTCTTAAGTGAGTCAACTGTTCGAACAAAATGGTAGAATGAATCGCTCAAAGGCATTTGCCGCCACCTAGTGGCAGCTTAGTCACATGCTAAATGTTAAAGCATTACTGCATTTTTACCAACATTTCATATTTCTATATAGTAATAAAAGATTCAAATTATAGATCACACAACACTACTTGTTGTGTTGTATGCTGTGACTGGTGCTATTTTTAATATTAGATGAATCCTATTAATTAAATAATCCTATTATTATTAAATTAACACTCCTATTTTTATTTTTCATAAACAACCCCCTTGCATATGAGATGTTGCACCTCAAGGGGTTTATCCTAAAATTAGTTATGTGTAATATTCTTATCCTAACTAGTTATGTGTTATGACACAAGGAGAAAGTACTGAACTCATTACTTCATTTTCTTTTCGGTTTAGTCCCTTGATTAATCTGGGGTCGCCACGGTGGAATGAACCACTGAAATGTATTTAATACTTTATATAAAAGCCTTTTTTAATGCTGTCAGCTTAAAAACACGTCTCATATGGAAAAGGGAGTCACATTAATTGCTTACAGTGCTCAGGTGTGAATTTTTTCACAGACTTCAACAGAATGTAAAATTCTTGATGGTTCTGTGGATCAAATCTGATCTTAATTTTGTATTTTCTATTGTATTGAAGTCAGGTGATTGGCTAGGCCATTCCACAGCTTGATTACTTTCTCTGAAACCATCTGAAGGTTTCCTTGGCTGTGTTTTGGACCATTGCTTAAATGTCCACCCTGGTTTCATCATTATCATCCTGCTAATGTAGATGTTGGCCTGAAGCAGCTAAAATAAATTTACACTGACAAAGGCCGGAGGGTTTCTGAAGAACTACTGAGAGATTTCAGCTGCTGTCTGGGCTTTCACTGCCTGTCAACACCTCCCTTTCTTCATTTGTTCAATACTATTTATTACACATAACTTCATTTGTAAATTAATTAGATTTGTTTTCTTTGAATATATATATATATATATATATATATATATATATATATATATATATATATATATATATATATATATATATATATATATATATATATATATATATATATATATTCCTTTTCTGAGAAAAATGAGGTCGTGTTCAATACTTATTTTCCCCGCTGTAAATAATGATTGGTAACGCTATATTAACTACTATGAATCATTTACTAAACATTAGCATCTAGTAAGTCCATTTCTCAAAAACCAGGCTATCTGAAATTTTTCCCAATATCGATGACAGATGTGACAGATGTCATGCACCAAGTTGGAATTTAAGTCATATGTTTTTTATGTGCCCTCTATTACATAATTATTGGAATAATTATTTTTGGGGTTCCAAAGATTTGGTCCAAATTCAATTATAAACAACTTGATGTTTTGGCCTTTACCTCACTAATAGCCAGGCGTCGTATACTACTTCACTGGAAATCAAATAAGCCTCCAACTACATCTTAATGGCTTGTAGATTTCATGCATTTTCTTAAGTTGGAAAAGGTTAGATGCTCTGAGAAAAACTAATTTCTTTAAAAAGTGGCAATGTTTTATAACTTACTTTAACTCTCTTAAGGTATTAATGCCTTCCATTTAATAGATGCACTCTCCTGAGTTCCCTCCCTTTTTAATTTATTTCGTATTGAATAAACGTTTTTGTTTTATCTAATACCATTTTATACCGTGTAAATATTATAAATATTTACTTTCAACATTGACAATGTATCTGAACATTTGATTGTGATATTTGGTTGTAATTTTCAGTACACTTAATACTCATGTTTCTATTTTTCTTTTCCTCTTTTATTATTATCATTATTATTATTATTATTATTAATATTTCTCTTTTTTATTATATATATATATATATATTTTTTTTTTTGTTATTATTATTTTTTGTCTCTTTTGTAAAAAAAAGAAAAAGAATGAAATGCAACTATCTGTACTGATGTAATGTTTGTTTTTCACAATTAACAATTTAAACATAAGAATACACCATTTGTAGCTGCAGTTATAAACTGCTTACTAACGCTTATTAATGTAGAGTTAATGCTTAACAGATAATGAATTCACTATTTGCTAATGCTTAATAAATGATTTACAGTGTGTAATTAATATAAAGTGTTACCTGTTGATTTTACACATTCAATATAAATTGCCTTTGATGGTTTAGGATTTCAATAAAGTTCCATGTCCTTTTAAGGTCTAGAATCAAATATAAAAATTTTAGTACAGTATATCTGCATTATCAACACCCTAAGAAACCTGGCTTTAAACTAAAGGTCAAAGTTGTTCCAAAAAAAATCTGTTTAATAAATACAACAAATTTTAATTGTTATGTTATAGTTTTTTTTTAAAGTAAAATGGACCCCAGACCTCCAATTAAGAGCTAAATAAACTGACTGCCATAATAACGTTTTTATTCATCCTCTTATTTAACCTTAAAGCACGATCTTTCTCTAAAAGCATGGCTATTTTTAATAAGAGTACTGTTGTAAAGGGAGATTACCAGCAACTCGAAGAGTCATGGTTTTCTCATCATGACCCAGTGTGTTGGAGGCTGAGCACGTGTAACGTCCTTCATCATACACTCTTACTGATGATATGAGCAGGGTTGTGTTTCTTAACCTGGGAACAAATAGAACTCAAGCACCAGCCGGTAAACAATAACCCCTACAAAACCATGCAGAAATCCTGTATATTTAAACCAATCAGAGGACGACTGAGGATCTGCTGACATGTTTCCAAAAAAGTGTACCATATGCATCAGATGTTTAGCCACAGGTCTCTGAGCACTGCCCGGCGTGATGTCTGAGCCTGAGACTAATTTCTTATAACC